TTGAAAAAATGTCTTAATAAAGTAAAAAAAAAAAAAAATCCTGCCAATTGTGTCAACTGCCAAGGCTAAATTTTAACTGCATATGTTCAGGAGTTCAACTCAATTTGGACCAGTTTTAAAAGCAATTCGCTGAGAGTTGTGTGCCAGATACTGCAGATGCTGGAGTAACAGAGGAGTGAGGGCACTGTCCATGCACACAGTGAGGCAGACGTGTGCACAGGCACTATCATGAATGTAGCAATGTCACTTGAGGAAGGAAGGAGGACGGCAGGAAGCACCCAGGAGTGGTCCCACTCACACACATCTGGAAGGCTGGCCAGCAGGGAAAGACACTGCAAACTCATGATGCACAGGGAGTGCGGTGGCTTCACACTCTGGCTAACGAGGGCACTACCATAAAGGTTACACTACAGAGCCAGACTCTGGGAAAGGCATGGGAAAACCAATGATGAGACCAACCAGGGGGCTACCACAGCAATTCAGGGGAAGGATGAAGGAAGGTCTACATGGGGTGGAGCAGCAGAAATGAGAGGGGAACAGCTCAGCGATTTAATCAGAGCAGGGAGGAGCAGCAGAAATGAGAGGGGAACAGCTCAGCGATTTAATCAGAGCAGGGAGGATGTGGTAGCGCACTAGATTTAGGGAGAAGAGAATGGATCAACTGTCAGGCGTTTTACTTTAGCCCTTGAGGGAACGAGAAGCAGAGCTGAGCAAGTGGCAGAGGAAAGGTCTTCCTGCAGCAGTGCTGCTGCTTCCACGGATGTCTAACTTCCTCTGTGACAAACATCTCCATCCTCCTGCCCACACTTCTGATTATCCTCTCAGCCTTGACACTAGTCAGGCACAAAAACTGTTTTTTAGAAGGCTTCTAATTAGTTCCCTTATCAACAATTATAAGATAATCAATAATCAGAAGTACCACAGAGCCTCTAAATTACCCTACAGATTTATAAGCCGCAGGACTCCACAGTGAGGCCGACATCATGCTGGCCTGCAGCGAGTCAAGGACATAGCTGACTCTTCCATTACTCAGTTCCTAACTTAGGGAGACAGAAAAACAGCAGCACAAGTTGGGTTTTCAGCTCTGATTACTGAATACTCTGAATTAAAGATCATGCTGCTGTGACAGACCAACTGTAGCTACAGTTCAGGATGTGCTCCTCTGCTAATACTCTCTTACGACCTTGGTTACCCAACACAAGTCAAAAATTCTCAGCATAAAAAACCATAAGAGTTGTAATAAGTCAGCGTTTCCTTGCAGATCTTCAGGATTCACAACAACGTAAAAAAGGGTGATCCAGCACTAAAAGCTTTATGCCAAAACAGGAAACAAAACAAACCAACCAGCAAACAGTACTATGAAGCACTTTCAAAGCAAGGACTTGTTCCCTTGCTACTTCCTGGTTTATTTTCTTTGTTAGCCCAAAGGGCTCATTGGGAACAATGGGGTTGACAGTAGGAGGGAGGAGGAGAGGGAGAGAGGGAGAGGAACTGGATGGTGAGACCACTTATCTACTGATTGGAAGATATTGATGGTGAGCCCTAGGAGATGAAGTCACAGCTGAGTCCCAGGCTGGGCAGGCCCAGCATCAGACCTGGCTCTGCTCTGGGCAGGAGAGAAAATGAAGGCACCAGAAGAACAGATGTTCAATAGAAACCATGAAAGCACCCAGCTGGCTAGTGCTTTTGCCACAGAATCAACTTCTTATTGGATACCCACTCCAAGTCAAGGGTTATGCTGGGGCTAAAGTGATCCGCAGGTCTGCAGGGAGAGTCTCCAGCCTTGAGCCTGCTGGACGGGTGCAGAGACCGCCAGTGACCGCAGTCCCGCAGCTGTCCTTCGGCTTGCATGCCCCTGCTATTTCCACAGACTTCACTTTCATCAAGAGCATTTACAGGAGGATCCCCTTTAACATGAACTCTCTTTGTAAGTAAAATGATCCAGCCTAGCGTAGAGCTGGGGTTGTAGCTCAGCAAGCACAGGGTCTGGGCTGGCTCCCTAACACCTCACACAAATACCAACTTAGCAATGCCATTGTTTTCAAAGGCAGGCAGGCAGGGTTTTGGCAGTCAGGTCACATGCTTTAGGCCTGACAGAATGCTGTCAAGTTAAATGTATAGGCTATACACAGGAATTTGCAATAAAAGTACTTGAAATTTTAAGAAAAAAAATCTCACTTTAGTATTTTTAACAAAAAATAATGGACAATTACTAAAAGTCTATTATTTAATAGATATTCCAAAAATTTTTCTCTGTTCCATCCAAAATCTTAGAAAACCTAGTGTCAGCCTAGATAGGCTTACATATGGCTTTCAATGCTTAAAACAATGACCCATGTAGGAAGTCACAGAACCCAGGTGTGATGGTTTGTATAGCCTTGGCTCAAGGAGTAGCACTATTAGGAGGTGTGGCCTCGTTGACCAGGTGTCTCACTGTGGGCGTGGGCTTTTAAGACCCTCATCCTAGCTGCCTGGAAGTCAGTCTCCTAGCAGCCTTCAGAACAAGAGGTGGAACTCTCAGCTCCTCCAGCCAGCCTCATGTCTACCTGGATGCTCTCATGCTCTTGCCTTGATGACAATAGACTGAATCTCTGAACTTGTACGACAGTCCCAATGAAATGTCATCCTTGTAAGAGTTGCCTTGGTCATGGTTTCTGTTCACAGCAATAAAACCCAAACTAAGTCACCAGGTCAGCCTGGCTGCCCACGCTGAAGGCTGATTCACAGCACAAGCTGAAACACTAACCCAGAGTTTAGCATGTCTGAGGACGCTAGCACATATTTGTCTCTTATTACTGTCAGCACTCAAAGAATGTTCTTGGAAGCACTGGCCTCCCGTTCAGCCTGCTTTGTGCAATGACTGACACAGCTGCAGCTAACTTGTTTTGACTACTACACAAAAACACCCTTACATGAAGGTTTAGGTGACCACTTTTCTAGAAGCAAACTCCATAGAAATGCTAAAAAGCCAAGGAACATTCATGTGTGAGCACTAAGTGTTCAGAGACCAGGCTACTGGAAATAAAGCAGTGATGGGGCAGGGCTCTAAAAGCTGGTCAGACACCAGGTGGTAACTAACACCAGTTTCAAGTTTAAATTCCAAGCTGGTGAAGGAAAAAGGAATTCAGTTTAATGAAGCTCAGCACTGGTCTAGCAGCCCTGGTCTAGCAGTCCTGGTCTAGCAGTCCTGGTCTAGCAGTCCTGGTCCGGCAGTCCTGGTCGAACAGCCCTGGTCTAGCAGTCCTGGTCGAGCAGCCCTGGCCTAGCAGCCCTGGTCTAGCAGTCCTGGTCGAGCAGCCCTGCAAAGCTCCACGGCTCATCTGCATCTCAGTGTCCTCACTGATGGAGTTTGTTCAGGAAGGGCTGAGAGCCGATTTTAATACAGGAATTCTTTAATTACTGCTGTTTAAGACAGTAACACAAGGCTACTTACTCTGGTATCAGGGAAATAGTATGGAAGATGGAAGACTTTTTCATGAATCCAGAATACCAGGCTTGCTGGATTCTATGTCACAGAACCACAGAACGGCTCTGGTGAGTCAACTCTCACTCAGTGTATTTGTGCCTGTCTCTTCCTTTGGGGGTATTCACTTTCTGGGCAGCTGGCAAAATAACTGAATAATGACTCTGAACTGGCTGGATTTTATTGCTTGTTATTAACTCTTTTGACAGTAGCTATGGACCTGTAGCTAACTCAAGCATGTTCTTGGTTCAAAGCCAACGACAGCTCTCGGTCAATTGACAGGAAAGAGATTAACTGCTGCCATGATGCCATCTCTAAACCCAGGATACAAACACACACAGATGTGTGGGGCTGTGGAAATCCTGGGGTGTTTGGCCACGCCCCCAGAACCCAGAGACCTGACGCGAGGTCTCCATGTAACATGCAGTGGGTCACGTAAGGCCCAGGTAGAGGGCAGGGGAACAGGTTTCTGCCTCAAGATTTACATATTACCTAAAGGCCCTGGCCCCGCCCCAATATAAGAAAACCCCTTCTGCAATTTTGTGAGAGAGCGTCCACCATTCAGATTCATCACCATGTCAACAAATCTACATGTCTTCAACTCCACGTGTCTCTTGAAATTCTGGACTCTTTGTGTAAGTGGAAAACTGGCGGGGGCTGGGGGGGGGCTTCTTGTACTCTGCTTCAGTGGCCTGCGGAGCTCTCTCTCTACAGCGGCAGCCCGTGTACCTTCGAGGGCTGCCCCGTCTCTGCTCTAGGGACTCTCTCTTCCCCTGCGCCACTGCTCCCGGAACTCTGTGGCCGCTGGCAGCATGTGGGCAGCTCAAGTCCCATCGCGGGCGAGACCGAACCATCAGCAGGGAGTGCTGGGAGTCCCGAGTCCTGCTGGCTAAGCCGCGGTTCCTGGGACGCCTCGGCCTCTGCACCACGACCCTGACCTCGCCCACGACCCTGACCTCGCGCCCGCGACCCACGCGAGTTTTGAGCCACACAGATGAGTCGTGGCACTGAGAAGCTTCAAAAAGAAAGGACTGGAGACTGTGTTTTGCTATTTACTAATCTTGAAATAAAGCTTTATGTTCCTCTCACTTGACACTCATGTGTTAAACCTGATCATGTTAGTAACAGTAAGAATGCCACAGTCTGGAAACAGCTGCATGTGCTCACCCATCAGTCCATGGGGGCTGCCACAATACACGGGGAGAAGCTTCTCCTCTGGGCTCCACTAAGGGTCCAACGCAGAACCATGCCCACTGAGAAGCTAGCCTCTCTCTGCATGACTCCATTAGAAAGCACTTGTACTGTGACTATCATGATGGCTTTTCACCATTGCTTCCATTGCTGTATCTAGGAGTGGAGCACGGTGCACAGGCCTCCAATGCCAGCACTGGGGAGCCTGAGGCAGGAACACTGAGATAGGCCAAATGACCCACCTCACCATCTACACACACATTTCATACATACCTGAAGTACATCACATACGTCCTTGCCACACATTGCACTTTGAAAGGTTAGCCTCGTCCACATACACACTTACCCAAGATTCGTGGTACAGGACTGTGAGGAGATACACTGCATAGTCATAGTTCTGCCGCTTCAAAGGGCATCTATAAGGAGAAAAGGACAAAGTCTCAGCATACAGATAATTCACAAGACATGCTAAAGATATTAGGTGACATTCTCTGTCCTGTGCTATACAGGATATTCTGGGTTTGGTGGCACATCTGGGAGGCAGAGGGAGCTTGATCTCTGTGAGTTTGAGGCTCTCCTGGTCTACATACCTCTGACATAGCCTGAGTTCCAGGCTAGTCAGGACAATATAATATGACCCTGTCTTAAAGAGAAAGAAAGAGGGGGAGGGGCAGAGAGACAGACAGACAGTGAGAGTATTATTCCTACCTTTCCTCTCATCACTAATCAGGTTATTTGTGTACTACCCTTTAAGCTACTTTAAACATGACGATGTCCAAGCCAAGTTCTCGTAACCATCTCAGTGATCAGAGTCAAGTGAATGGCACAAAACTATCTAATGAGTCCATTTAAAAAGCAGGGCAAATGAGGCTGGAGGGAGGCTCAGCCGGTAAGAGCTGGTAGCTCATGAAGAGGACCTGGGTTCAGGTCCCAGCACCCAGATGGTGGTTCACAAAACCATCGGTAACTTTAGCTCCAGGGGACCTGATTTCCTCTTCTGACCTCCAGGATACTGCATGCTAATGGTACATACATACACATACATGCAAGCAAAACATTCATATACATAAAATAGAAATAAATATTTTTTTCTAAAAAGCAGATGTTGATTCTTCCAGAAATGAGCTGCACTGTATGTCCGCTGTGGCTATCTTCAAATGGAAGTAACATCCCGATATTAAGTAAAACTTCATATGAGAATGGCATGTGATACATTTTGGGTAATAAAATAAAATTGAAAAAAGTAACAACTGCCTCAATCTCTTTAAATATAAAATAAGAGCATCCTGTGGCTTATTAAAAAGTCCTTTAAGTAGTTCCTAGCATAAGCCATATAACTAGATAAATGACAGGTACTATCTCTCAGCTATAGAAAAAGCAGCAAGATCAGGTGGTGGGCATACACATACATGCATGCCCATGAAAGCACAGAAGCTCACACAGAGAGGCACGCCCACACACGCACACGCACGCACACACGCACGCACGCATATGCAGGCATACAAACAGCCCGCATGGCTGCACCCACCTGTCTGTTGTGATAGTGAGCACATCAGTGGTCGTGCAGTACCGCTCTCCTACAAGCTTAATAAGCTTTTTCTTTGCATGCTTGTCTAAATTCAAACTGGAAAGTTTAACCTTAAAAATACAAGAAAAATTATGTAAAAAAAAAAATCACATAATTTGCTTTATGAAGAAAAGTATCACTGTTATTTAAATCAACATTAAATCACAAAGACAAAACTTCCCAAACTTCTCTGTATAGAGTTAGCAGTCAGAAAAGCACAAGTCCAGTCTCACCCTTGGAAAGTGGGAAAGCAAAGCGAAGAGAGTTCAAAGTGCTAGTACAGCACCGTGCTGCAGACCCACAGCAAGCAGCTGACAAGCACTGAGAGAGAGGACAGACCCACTCGCTGTCAGTACAGCTGGACAACAGAAGTGAGAGTCTAACAGACCAAACCCTCCCAACCTCGCCTCCATGAGAGCAGGCTAGCGTATCACTCCAGCTGTTCAAGGGCTTAAGGGACGCCCTAACCTGTGAAAGCTCTTGGAGGCTGAATATCACACGGGGAAGAACAGCTGCGGTAACTCAGCATGGCATCCCTCAGAAGCTAGCATTAGCCCCACAGGCTGCTAACTTCGAAGTACTGGCCACCACGCCCAGGGATCAGAGCTTGATCAACAGACTTCACAGAAAACAGACTCCCACAAGTTGCCCCTGACTACCACACAAGGGCATGGGCATACACACACACACACACACACACACACACACACACACACGCACACACATGAATGCAATTTTTTAAAGGATGTAGAGCCTAGAAAAAAGTTGTCATTCTCCCTCCCTCCCTCACACCCACCCTGGGGATTAAACTGCAGTCTGGCACACACTAGCTATATTCTCTGCCACTTCTACATCCCATGCTCAGAATCTTTCTTTAAAGGTGATTCTGTAGCTCAGTAGTACAGTGTTTATCTAGCACATGTGCAAGACGTTGGGTACAATCCCCAGCACTGTGAAAGAGGTTAAAGGTTATTTTTATTTCTACTAGATATATTTAGGATACCTCAAGTTTAACTAGGTTCTTTCTATTTGTGGTGAGACAGAGCCTAGGTACATGGTACTTGTGAAGCTGCCCAGAACAGCTTCAAACTTGAGATTCTCATACCCTAGCCTCCTCGATACTAGGATCAGACAGGCCTGTGCCACCAAGCCCATCTCTAAATTGGATTTCTTACAGTGAATTTCTCAGAGCATTTTGGAGTTATAAGATGCAGTGGTGGAACATGAATGGTTCTCTCATGTACATGGCTCTCAGTTCTACTTTTCATGGAATTAAATCTTTAAGACATGCACTGGGCAATACTGGAGTGAACAAGAACTCTTTAGTTTGCAGAGAATTATGTCAAGGGTTAAGATATTAACTGGACACAGATAGATTTGACACTTGAATATAGTTCAATAAAATACTATCACCCTGTTTTTTGATTACTACAATGAAACATCTAAAGTTGAATAACGTTATTTACTCATCTACAGTTCTGGGGTGAAAGGGCAATGTCACTGTCCTACAAGATGGAGCCATCACACGTCAGGAAGCCCAGAGCAGCTCGGGCTTAGGTTTACCTTGGCACAGTCTGCTCTCTAAGGAACTAACTCAGGTCTCACAAGAGCTAGTGTCTTCCCTTCCCAGGTGGGCATTCCACAACCTAAGAACTCTCACAGGCCCCAAATCATCATTGCCACACAGAGGACCCATCTCCCAGAAACAAGCCTTCAGGGACAGGCAGAGCCATAGCCATAGCATAGCAAGCATCGCTCTGTTCTCTGGAGAGCGTCAGCTGTAAGGCAGAGCTGAGACCTCATGATGAAGGAAAGGCTGAATGGAGTCTAGGACCCCGCTGGCCCTGCCCCTCGCTCACCACACCATGGCACAGTGGCTCTCTTCACTCACACATTTCATCACTGAATTACAAACCTCTGAGGTGAGAACAATGTCTACTCTGTTCTTGGCAACCGTGTAGCACTTGAAAAGATTCAGTACTTGGTAAATTAATATATGAAGTTCAAAAAGAAAGGAATGGGGTCATGGTGGTACATGCCTATCACCTCAGCATTTAGGGGGACCCCAGATTCAAGGACACAGTAAGGCTATCTCAGAAAACAACTCAAATCACACTTGTACTCTGCAGGCAACGAGAATCTTCTGTCTTCTGGGCAGAGTGTGCTTCAACAAACAGGCCATGAGCTTCACAGATAAGCCGCCCATTCTATGGTAAGTTTCATTGATGACGATATGGAGAAATAGTTTATGAAAATAGCAAACTGTACTACTTTATAACAATGCAAACATATGCATATGTGTCTATGGATAGTGACAACACAGAAAAATGAGTACCTTTTATACTAGGGTGATGAGAATATACTGATTTTTCTTTTTTAAACATCTATGAAATCCTATCATTAAACAGTGACATTAAATTAAACAGTAAATTCCAATTTTTATGCCAATGTTCAAAGAGTGGCAACAGTGTTGATTATTCTTCAACAACTGTTTTAAAACTCATGTTCACATCAGTATCTTACATAGAGAGACTTTAGCCAGACACTCTGCATCTCTTCAGTGTCTGCATGGCACACTCTCGCCACCGGCCAGCCTGTAAAGGCTACAAACCCCTCATCCTTAAGCTGGACCAACAAACACTCTGACTTCAAGGCCAAGTGCCATCAGTCTCTCTTCCAAGATACATGTTCACACAGCTGCCACTTGTGATCACAGGGGACTGTGGTAAAGTGAAATACTAACAAGAACCACATAACACTGAGGAACGGCCAAGTGCATGAGCGTGTCCCCTAAATGCACACAAGTGAGACAGGACTCTGCCACCACACACAAGAGCTGAGCGAGGCTTCTAGGTCAGCCGCTTGCTCTGTAACCTCAGGTCACTGCTACAACATGTAAGAGCTGAGCAAGCCTTCTAGGTCTGCCGCTTGCTGTGACCTCAGGTCACTTATCTCCTGGCCAGACTCAGCTCTCAGGACAAGTTCATTCACAGGTGTTTTGCAGGAATACATAAGATTAACATAAGGAAGCACCTTTAAAAGTAAAGTTCTAGACAAATAGAAAGTGTCTTTAATTCTTAACTACTTTCTGACTATTGAGAAAAACATAATACCTATTTCACTCTTTAGAATTATAATCTGGAAGGGGGCTAAGGAGGTGGCTACGTTCAGATCCCCAGCACCCACATAAATGTCAGAGGACTGCCTGTGATTCCAGCTCAGGCAGAGACAGGGGATCCCTTGAGCAAGCTGGCTAGCTAGACTGTGGGATCAAATGAAAGGCCCTGCCTTAATGAATAAGGGCGAGAGTAATCCAGGATAATTCCCAGTGCAATCATACGGTCTCCATACACACTAACAAAGACATGCACCCACACAAACAGGGGTCCATAAACACACATACTATATATATATATATGTGTATGTATATATGTATATGCATACACACAGACAAAAAGCATATTCATATGCACATAACAGACACAGAGAAACAAGCATACATATGTGTCCACATGCCACACACATAAAAAAAAAAATGTGATCCTCTGAATAAGACTGCTGTGGTTTGGACTGCAGCATCCCCACAAGCTCATGTGTTTGAACACTTTGTCCCCAGGTGGTGACACTTTTGGGACATTTCAGAACCTTTGGAAAGTAGGGTCTGGCTGGAGGAATTTGGGTGCAGGGAGAAGGGCCTCTAAGGTTATAGCCTGGCTCCATTTCCAGGCCAAGCTCTCTGCTTGCAGATCCAGAGATGAGAGCAAGCCGCCCCCACGCTCCTGCCACCTTGGATAGGGGCTCTCCTGCCACCATCATTTCCCTACCGTGAAACTCCCCGTGGAGATACATCTGCCCTAAGCTGCTTATGTAAGGGACTTGATCTCCACAGTGAGAACAGTCATGACTACACTAGTGATGGTCACCTTCACCACACTGTTTTAGTTTAATCCCTAGAATTCATGTAAAGGTGGAAGGAGAGAACCAACCCCACAAAACTAACAAGTGTTTTTTAATAATTGTTAGAAATATTTATTCCTATTAAATACAACAGTCACAAGCACACAGACTATGATGATACTCCCATTAAATATAGGAGGCTGCACAAGCAGTAGAACTGTACTTGTTTTATACTCACATACAAATGCACTTAAACTGTACCTAAGGACTTGGTGTCTAAAATGCTCTTACCCGTAACGTTACTGTTCGAGCTCTGGGGTTTCGAACAGATGGTCCCGACGACACATAATCCGCTGTATCAATCTCAACTGGAAAATGCTTCTCACATTTCTCATCACTGTCGAGTGCAGCTGGCCACTCAGTGCAGAAATCTGAGAACACAAAGTCATCTCACTACAGCTTTGTAAGTGATTCCCACTGTAACTGGCTGGCAGACAGGGCAGTCGTTGGAGCACTGGAGTCACAGAGGTGCGGGCGCAGGCTATGCTCTGTATTAACACCCATGCTGCTACTCTTCACCCCTGTTCCTCTGTGTCCATCCTAATCATGAAGTTTGATTAAAGGAAAGACCCTAGAAGGTTCTGTTTGGTGGGGAGCAGAGATGACGGGGGCTGGAGTAGAGCCGGGGAAGCTTACCATTCCATGGCCCAGCCCCTAGCACTGAAATTAACTCTACTGCCTTGATGGACATGTCTGGCTCTGTAGATAGCTGCTGTTTTAACTCCCCCTTCCCAACAAAAGGCTCACAGCTCTGTGCCCAGAGGTTACTGCTTGTGAAGAGCAAGTACTGCTGACTCAGCCCCAAATCAACATCACTACACAAGAAAGGAACTGAAGTCCTCGAAGGAGCTGAAGTCTTCCAGTGTCTGGAAGACACTGATATACATCATCACAAGTGGGCCCCAGCACTAGCACCCACTCTTCTGCATAACCCCAATGAGCCAGTGGGGCAATGGAAAACAGACTGTCCTCATCAAGGAAGACAGCCCAGAAAGAAGGCAGTTCTGGGCTGAGACTAGACCACAGCAATTTTCCAAGCACTGTGGACAGGGCTCTCTCACCCCCGCGCAGAGGTACAAACTCAGCTCCCATTTGCTGATGGGGTAATTGGCGGCTTCCCAGTTATTAGTACGTGATTTCACACTGCCTTATCCCCACAAGGTTAGGATGGAAAGGGATTTGAACTGAGGATAAAGGTCTCTCTCATGGTGGTCTCTTCTTATTTCCTAAAGAGCCTCACTCTAAGAACAAGTGCAAGTTATCGGTTCCTTGGGTTATAACATCAGACCTCAGAGACCCAGGCTTCCTCTCTAAGGCACGCTGTGAGAGAGGCTGTCATCATGGTGGACAGATAACCTAGGGGACACTGAGAGGTCCTTCGCCTGTGACTTTTCTCCAAGTTAACAATTTCCTTTGCTTATCTTCCTTTAGGCTTGATCAGGTTCAATAAAATGTCACTGAGTTATAAAGGTTCTCTGACATCATTGACTTGTGTGGAGGCAGCAGGGGCCATGAATTCAAGGCCACCCTGGGCTACATAAAAAGTGCAACCAGCCTGAGCTGCCCTACAAGACCCTGTCTCAAAGAAAACGTCCAACCCTTAAAACCTGTTTTGAGAGAAGGGGAGGCATCACTGAAATGGAGAACACTGTGGCCTGAGAAAGAGAAGACAGCAGGGCAGGGCCAGCCATCATTTGTCATGGACAACTTGCTACTCCAACATGGACGAAGCAGCTAAGCACTCGTCAGAGACCAGTCTACAAGAAGTACAAGGGCTTCTGCTTTTGCACAGGATATTTTTTTTCTTTTACACTGCAAATAAGTCATTTCAATCACCAGATGATAATTACAGTTTTTATGTTAAATTACCTAAATTATGTGTCTAAAAAGCACAGCCAACTGGAAAGTACATAACAGACCCCATTAGCGTCTCCTCATCTGATGGGTGCAGCAGCAGGCAGACTCTGAAGGACCTTGGCTTTTATTTAACTTCTCCACTGATTATTCAAGCTTTGGTAAATTACTGAACTTTCCTGCATTTCACATTTTCCATTTGCAAGTTAGATATAAATCTGAAGTGACCTACTTTGAACAAAGTCTGAGAAGAAATGATGAAAACCCTTGAATCTTCTGGAAGATACAATCCCAAGCCAGGGATGGCAGATGTGTAACTAAGAAAACTGGCAAATGCTCATTTATGCTCTGTAGGAAACAGTGCTGTCCTCCTGGGTGTGCGATACAAAAGCCTTCATTTTGAATTAGGAATTAGAGAAACCCCTTATCAATACTATCAGTTGCTGGAGTACACGCACATTTAAAAGGCAATGTTTAAAAAGGAAGAATGGGGTCAGCAACATGGCTCAGTGAGTTAAGACCCTTGCTGCCAAGGCTGGCTCTGCTTGAGCTGGACCCCAGGGACTCACACGCTGAAAGGAGAGAACTGACTCCTGTAAGCTGTTCCTGACCTTCACATTCACACCACGGCAAACACTTGCCCTAACACATGAACGCATGCACACACACACACGAGCGTGTACTCACGTACACAGAGGGGGGAAATAAAATACAATTTAAAACATTTTTTTAAATTAAAGAGGTGAAAAATGAAATTTATCATGATGTATAGGAATGCATTTGTTAACTGGCTTTTATGAGCAAAAAAAAAAAAAAAAAAAAAGGAGATTCAATCTGACCATTACAGCTCCAATCTGGAATAGCTGTCAGTTTTAGAAATATCTTAGATTTCATTCCTTTCCTAAAAAGTCAGGACAAGTGCTCTGAACACCAACAGAATACCTGTAACAGGGTAATTAGGGTACACAGAGATACTGTCCAAAGGTATTAATCAACTACAGAATCCCTGATAGGTGCAACTTCAGACCAGGAAGAATCAGAGGTGCTTATCTATATATAACCTGATGCAAATCAGTTCAACATAAATCAGAATATAAGCATAGTTATACACACACACAACCACATGAAACATGTGTCTCTGCGTCATTCCTGCTGTTGGGAGCGACATGCTCCACAGGTTCACTGTGTGAGCTGGTGGCACTGCTCTGGGAGGTGGGGCCTAGCTGGAGGAAACTGGTGTGGGGTTATCTGCTTCCTGATCTGCTGAGATAAGCAGCCAGGAGCCACAGCCATGCCTTCCCTGCCACAACAGACTATAATGTCTCAAACTATGAGCACAAACCAATCCCTCCCATAGCTGTCTCAGCTGGTGCTCCGTTACAGTGAGGAAAGGAGGAAGACATAATACAGGTGCCCAGGGAGTGACAGGCACTGCTCCACGACAGCTGACGGCACTGGGGCCATGCTCCTGCAGTCACTTCTGTTATTTCCTCATATGCATGCATGGCACACAGAATACATGCTGTAATACATACTCAGTCTTCTGGAAGTCATCACAGGAACTAAGTAATGACCAAAGGATTGTTCTCGGATGAGAGGCAGAGATGAAGAGGCAGGAGGCTTCTACTATCTGATTAGACACACACACACACACACACACACACACACACACACAAACCAGACAGACACACACACATAAAATCACTTTTTGTCAATGTTCTAAAACAACTAACCAGGTCAAACCTGTAATCCCAACACTCTACAGGCAAGGGCAGGAACACTGAATGCTGCACGGTAGAGACCAGTTTGTTCTACACAGCAAGTTTCAGATCAACCTGGGTGATACAGCAAGACCTGTCTCAAAACAATTAAAAAAACAAATTCCAGGATAACTCTTTGTTGTGTAGTAGCTCCTTGCTGAACCTACTGGCTGCACTGCTATTCGGTATTTGCCTGCATGGTTAAGTCTGAGCTAAGCCTTGGTCATTTCAATCTATTGACAAAACTGCAGTGTTCTCTCCAGTCTACACAAGTGCTTTCTCTAACTCAACAAGTGCTCACCCCGCCTACAAGCAAGAATCATGTCTTGATGGCCTGGCAAGCCTGGTACCAGTGGGAGCCCTGCCCAGAGTTGTCAGGGGTGTCTGGAGACCTCTAAAACAGGACAGCTATTGCTACTACTCTTGGTTAGCCATCAGAACCTGAAAGCAAGACTTTACTGCTGAAGACAATGTGATCATAGGCCATGAAGAAGCCATGTAAGTACTGACCAGGAAGCTTTCTCCCCACTGGCTAGTTACCACAGTGCCAGAAGTTGCTCCACAGCTGCTGGGGTACAAAAGTCATCAGCAGTCTCACCCTACTATAAGCCACAAGTGACAGTAACAAATGATGTGGCAAGCTACGCCCGTGTGTGTGCACCAGGGACACAGGTCTTATATGCGCACTACTTTCTGATTAGATCCAGGCCTGTTCCACAGGAGGAAACACAGCCCTTACGATACCCTGGTCGAGAACCCATGAGTGGGGACCTCACAGGCCCCAGGGTGAGCTGCTATTGTTTGGCTAGAGGACACAATATGAAACTGCCCTCTAAATCCATCTCTCTATACCCATAAATCAGGGCAGCTCTAGGACCATATCACAGCAGCACTGTGCAGGGGACAGTGGTCAGTGCAAAGCTCACAAATGGCTGAAGTGTCTGTGGGATGCTCAGCCACAATGGGGCATGTAAAATACTACTCTCACACCCCCCCCCCAGGCTCAGCCACAATAAGGCATATATAATACCACTCCCCTCCAGGCTTGTGGGACTCTGTAAGGGTATCCTGGTTCATGGCTGGGCATGGGCCTGGAACCCCGAGACTCTAAGTGAGAAATGGCAGGCATTCTGCCACGTCCCCAGAACCCAGAGTCCTGACGTGCAGTCTCATTTCTATAGACCTACAGTGTTCAGTCACGTAAAGGCCATTACAGCCCCTCCCAAAGTGCACAGGTAGAGGGCGTGACCATAGGCCTCAGGCCCTAGAGATTTACATACTAATGAAGGCCAGAGGGCGGAGCAAATTAAGCATTCTTTCCAGAACCTCCCCTTTTCTCCCTCCTTATTTAACTCAGATCTGGCCTGAGTTTCAGGGAGATACATCCAAATCCATCCACCATCCACCATGAAAATAAACCTTTCTGGAACCAAGGACTTCCTCATGTCATTGGGGTCTGCCGATGCCAAAGTCTCCAGCTTCTGGAACCTTAGACGTTTCTCCTGCATGTGGGAACCACCAGTGTGGAAACCCCCCAGGACACCCCACCACCGAGGCTATTTTTTCCCACACAGGCTCAGCCACAATGGGGCATGTATAATACCACTCCCCGCCACACACACACCCAGGCTTAGCGACCATCATAGAAGATGGGGTGGAAAGGCTGTAAAAGCCAAGGTCAGGGAAGACTAGACTGAAACTGTCCTCTGGACAAGACGGAACTGCTGTGCTCACGAGCTCTCAGTAGCTGTGCCTGCCTGCACAGGATCACACTAGTCATGTGGACTGGGGAAGAGACGGAGTCCCCTTCCTAGCTGAGGATCTATTGAGAGCTGACGTCTATTTGGGGAATCAGACTTCCTTACCCATGTTACAGCGGGTGACCCCCACACCCATGAATATATACGCAGAACAAAATTAATTCATCAGGTTATCAAAATAGATAAATAAATAAATAGGTCACAGGCTTGGGACTGGAAGGTGTATCAGGGTGGGATTAGGGTGAATATGGCAAAAATATATTGCATTCATGTATAAAATTTTCAAAGATAAGCAATTATGTGTTTTTTAAATTATACACTTTCACATTTGAACTCAACCATTTTACAGAATGAACAATATATAGGAAGACCAAGAATGTGAAACAATGTAGCAAATCAGTTTTGGGATAAATGAATGTACTAACCTGAAGAACAGTATTCTAGGAAAGATTCACACTGGCTTCCTAGAGTCATTTGGCAACTTCTATAAACATGCTGGCCCATTCCAGTGGAAAGGGGAGTAACAATATAAACACAACAGCACCAAGCTCAAGCCACCCTGAGCCTCACACTCTTACAGTAATAGTGGGCACTTGCTTCTGCTATCGCACATCTATTAAATATTCATGACAAAGTTTATTTTCTAAATGTAAAATGGAACTAGGGTAACAGAGTCTACCATCTTGTGATTTATGGCTTTATTTTATTTATTTATTTTTTTGTTTCTTTTTGTCTTGCTTGTTAGTTTGGTTTTTTGATAGTCAGATAGTTCAGGCTAGCTTCAAGCTGTCCACCATCCTGGCTCATCCTACTGAGTGCAAGGATTACAGGGTGCATAACCATGCCTCCATTTCAACCCTTTTTTTTTTTTTTTTTTTTTGGTTTTTCAAGACAGGGTTTCTCTATGTAGCCCTGGCTGTCCTGGAACTCACTCTGTAGACCAGGCTGTCCTCGAACTCAGAAATCCACCTGTCTCTGCCTCCCAAGTGCTGGGATTAAAGGCAAGCGCCACCACTGCCCGGGTTATTTTTTATGACGTTATACTATCCAGGAAAAAATATTCATAAAAGGGCTGAGACATAGCGGCTCTGCAGTTAAGAGCACTGGCTGTTCTCCCAGAGGGAAGGACCTAGGTTTGATTCCCAGTACCCACTGGTGGTTGGCAACTCCAATTCTCGGAGATCTGAGACCCGTTTCTAGCCTCCTTGCATGCATACAGTGCACAAATATACATGCAGGTAAAACATCCACACACAAGACCATGATAATATTAACAAACATAAATTGCTTATACACTTAATGTCTTGAACAATGTACAAATCTTTGTTTAATGGGGAAAGACAGGAAAGTGGTGCCCTACTGGAGCCCTATAATTAACAGGCTGTTAGGAATACCAAGAATTTCGGGCTAGCTTGGGCTGCATAGCAATATCCAGGCCAACCTGGGCTACCTAGCAAACAAGAACAATACCCTGTCAACAAACCAAAATTAACGGAAAAAGACACAGTGACCCAGAACATGATGTATCTCCTTAGAGCTGAGACCCTTTGCTGTATGTTCCCAGAAGAAAACGTACCTTTCAGAGCTTCACAGTGCCTTTTAATTGCCACAGGAGTCAAGTGCAGAAAATTTGGGATCTAAAACAAAAATGTTTTAAAAGGATAAATTTAAATTACACCCAAATTTCCCTCCCACTAATCCCCACTGCCTAGAGTCTCACTATGCTTCCTGGATCATTTTAGACTCATAAGCTCACATGGCCTTCCTGCTCCAGCCCCCTGAATGGCTGGGACTGCAGGCACAGCACCATGCCAGCTATGCCAGAAACACCTGAACAGGATCACATCCTCATAAACTAAACCACAGGACCAATGAGTCATCTAAATAAAATGGGATGGCTCTTCTACAGCATTGGTTCTAAACACAGGAATCAAGTCCAGAAGTAGATCCAGTACTGAAACGTTGGAGTCCGACAGCGCGTTGTCTTATAAGGCAGCAACCAAGGAAAAAGTAAACACTTTCATGACATTGATTATGCCATGTGTCTACAATATTTATGTACAGTTGCAGTATAAAACTGAAGGCATGAAGCGTGTGCTAGCTCACAGTTGCAACTCCAGCATTCAGTGAGACTGAGGCAGGAACATCAAGGTCATCCTGGGCTACACAGCAATTCAGTCTCAAAGATAAAAATAATAATTAAAAAAACAAAAGAATTCTGAGAGCATTAAGGGCAGCAATCTGTCAATCACACAATTCTCCAAGAAATCTGACGTATTATTTTTGCTTTGTATATAATAAACAGTTAAACTGAATGAATGAAGGTAGCAAATCTTGACTAAATCATTGATTCCATTTATTAATTAATTTATTTTTTGAGAACAGTCTCCTACAGTCCAGGCTAGCCTGGAACTTGCTATGAACTCCTGATCCTTCTGCCTCAGCCTCCCAAGTACTGGCACTGCAAGGATCCTGAGTTCAAGGCCACTCTGGGTACGACTGTCTCTATCAATCGGGTGGAACCTGTGCTTCCTGATTTTCAGAGTCAGTTATTTTCCCTTCCTTAGTTACACTTGATCTATACAATAGAAAAGGCCGCTGAGAAGCCACAGGATTGACCAGTCTTTATTAAATGCCTATGACTCTAAATCTTCTTTACCATGAGTGCCATCCATCATCACCTGAAACAGAGATCTAAAACATGACATGCTGCTCTCACACGAGGGGTGGGGTGGGTCAGGGATGAGCACTCCTGAGGAGCTGGCTGAGCCCTGAGCCCTCACATACCTTTAAAAGCTCCAGATTCCCCTCCTTCGCCATGGGCACACCCTTCTTTACTGGATATCCCATGCGAACAGGCAGAGGAACAGCCGAGGGCTTAAATGGTGCCGCAGTGGGGTAAACACTAGGCCAGTCCTGGTCAGTGTCCATCTTCTCCGTCCTAGGAGGCAGAGCCTAAGAAACATGACATACTTAAAATCTTTAGATATAAACATATTTTTTAAAATTTTATGACAAAATCGTAATTACGATACATAAAAATTGAACTACCCTATAGAAAACCAAATTTCAAGGACTGTGAAAAACTGAGAGAAGTCCTTGCTGTCCACACCTGCCAATTTGAATTTGACCCTGGGAATTCATATCGGATGAAAAGAAAGAACTGACTCCACAGAGCCGTCGTCTAACCTCCACACACTTCACACACATGTGCCTACAGACTACACACAAACACTGATAAGTAAAATAGGCCAGTTTCCAACAAATCTGTTGCTTGAGTAACAAACTACTAACTCAGCATAAATATCTGCACAGTTGCTTCAAACGATGACAAAATCTTCTTTAATGTCACACTTTCTTCACAAGGATTAATTAATTTATGAACTTTTAAACTTACATCCATGATGTAAATCATACACAAGGAAATGTTAAGAACTTCGAGACAGGGCTGGGGACGTAGCTCAGTTGGTAGGGTGTTGTTTAGCATGCACAAAGGCCTGGATTAGACCTCAGCAACTAGGTACGGTGGTGCACACCTATAACACCAGCTCCTAGGAAGTGGTCAGAAGTTCTAGGCCAGGAGCTGGAGAAATGGCCCAACAGTTAAGAGCACTTGGTGCTCTTGAAGAGAACTCAGGTTCGGTTCCCAGCACCCACATGGTGGCTCACAACTGTCTGTAACTCCAATTTCAGGCAACCTGATACCCTCTTATAGCTTCCCTGGATACTAGGCACACACATGGTGCACATATACACATACAGGTAAAGCACTCATATACACAAAGCAAAAACGAATAAATCTTTAAACATGTTTTTAAAAGTTCTAGGTCATGCTTTTACACAGCAAGTTTGATGACGTCATGGGCTATAGGAGTCCCTTCCTCAAAAGGAGGAGGAAGCCGTGGGGATAGGGTGGGATAGTGGGAGGAACTTGGAATAAGGACGATAAGACAGTGTAAACACTTATGGGTCAATGAGACGGCTCAGCCAGTAAAGGTGCATGCCAGCAAGCCTGACAACCTGAGTTCAATCCCTGAGACCACACAGTAGAGAGCAGACTCTTCAAGGCTGTCCTCTGACCTCCACACATAGCCACAGCATGCACACGTGCATACACATACACACAACACATACTCACATATAAATACATGTAATTTAAATTTTTTAAAAAATAAAGAGTAAGCATTTGAGATAAATTAATCAAGGTTAAACAGGTTTTAAAATACATAATATGTCCTAGGCCCAGAGATAAATGACTTGACAGCTTAGCCAATCACATTAACACACGTGTATTTTAAAGTGTTGTTACACAGAAGGGGATGGCCCCCATATAAGAGGTAGGATTTAGGGTTAGCATGGCTCAGTGGTTGAGAGCATTTGCTGTTCTTGTCCAAGTTCTGTCCCTATCACCCACATCAGAACCACGTGTAACCCTAGTTCCAGGGAGTTTGATCTCCTCTTCTGGCCTGCAAAGTACCAGACATGCATGTGGTACACGTAAACTTATGTACACACAAATACACATTCATAAATAACAGTAAATACTTTTTAAAAGTGGGGTTTAGGCTGACAAAATTTAGTCCTGCCATCTAAATTTCAACATCAGGGTGGTACATGTCCCAGAGTGGGAAGAACTCCTTTGAAAACTACTGCTTTAGGTACCACTGCCTTGGCCTTGGCCTCCATGCTCATCAACTGACCTCAACTCCTAACAATGCCCAGAGAAGGAAAACTGGTGAGATTTATGCTGACCACCGAAAGCATCATCAAACAGTATGTACTCTGAGTGTACCTGCTTTCTGGCATGTATGAGTGAGTCTACTTCCTAGAGCTGATGATTTGAAGACTAACTCCTAGCAAGATCTGGTAGCTGCCCAGAGACCTTGTGAAGCCTACTCTGGGACACCCTCCCTCTCACCTTAGGGCTTTAGAAATCATTAGGATAGCGCAAAGTAAAATAAATTCACGTGTACCTTTCTTCTCATCGGCCTTTCCCTTCTGGATACCGTACCTAAAAGACAAAAATTTATAATGAGCCATTGTTCAAAATCACTGGCTTGCAGTTCTAACACACCTTAAGGTATTTAGTAACATGAAAATGGAACAATAACCTGCTTTCTCCAAGTTTTGAATAATGGAGATAAAGAAACTCTATGGCAATTCTGATACAGTGAACTCATCATCTACAGAAATACTTCCTTCCTTCCGAGAGTCTTACACTGTAGTGCTGGCTGGTCCTTAACTTGCTGCAATCCTTCTGCCTCAGTCTCCCAAGTGCAATTAATATAAAACTAACCAGGACAATTCACCCCTTGTCAACTTTAACACAAAAACATATCACTATTAAGCTATAACCTTTCTTTCTTTGTTCACCCCCAACACCACACATTAACATCGAAATCACAATATAAAACATTTGACAAACTTTAAAAGTCTCACAATCTTTACAACCTTACTTTAAAATTCAGTCCCTTAGATGTGGGCTCCTGTTAAATCAAAGCTAACTACTTTCTTACTTCAAGAGGAAAGAACCAGGGCACAGCCACAATCTGAACAAAGCAAAACCAAACTCCAAAAGTATAAACAACTCAATGTTCAATTATCTGGGATTCATGATCCTCTGGGCTGTTCCAAAGGGCTGGGGTCACTTCTCTGGCTCCACCCTCTGCAGCACACACAGACTGTCTTCTATGCTCAGGCCAGCTCCACTTCACAAGCGCTGCTGTTCTTTGTGGTCATCCCATGGTGTTGGCATCTCCAAAATATTTAGAGTCCTCTGCTGGCTGCAACTGTGTTGGACTTTCACCAATAGCCTCTTCTGGGCTATCTTCATGGTGCAAAACCTCAACTTTTCTCCATGATCCCTTAAATCCTGGTGCTTCCAATGCTACTCCAGCTCCACCTTCAGTGGCCTCTCCTGACCCCTCAGTGCCAAGACTCAGCTGTTCTCCATGACCCCTTCATGCTGTTAAAACCAGTACCACCTTACACTATCAAGTTCAGGTGAAGTACAACTTTGGCCACCTCTGGAACACAACATCTTTGTGATGATTCTTAGAAACACTTCTCAGAAGACTTCACCTCAGTGATGCTGGTCTCTTCTTAATCACGGCTATTTTCTCAGCTCCAGCATCAACTGTCCCAGTAAAACAAAGGTTTTATTTTAGTGGTTCTTGTCTCTTGTTAATCATAGCTGATTCTTTGGCTCCAGATGACCAAAACCAGAGATTCTTGACACAAATGGCCCAGTTAGAATCTTTGCTTCCCTCGGACACTTCTCGAGTCAGGCTTCCCGTCTTTGTACTGCTTTCCACATTCTTATCTTCAAAGCTCTGACAGAACATCCCACTGAGCTCTCAACACTCAATGGCTCTTCTGGTCCAAAGTTCCAAAGTCCTTCCACAATCCTCCCTAAAATGTGGTCAAGTCTGTCACAACAATACCCAACACCCATCCATCCACTCCATAGGTGTGGTTCTCTCTGGAGAACACTGAATAAGAAGTGGACAGTATCTCCTGGAGGACACACACTTTAAGCTAAAGACTGAAGGCTAATGGATGAAAGGTAGTCATGGAAGCAGGCAGGCGAGAAAATGTCTGAAGACAGCAGAGAACGCTTCGGCGGCCCATAAGCCAAAACTGGATCGATGCAGAGATGAGCATGGTCCTGCATGAGGCAGATCCAGGAAGGAGTCCATACTTTTACAACTTAGTAACATTTCATTCTGTGGGTTTTAGAAAAATAGACTTTTAAGGTAGTACCTGCCTCTCAGCTAGACTGTGACATTGATTATACATTTTGTTCTCCTTGTTGACAATCTATGCCTTGTTGGATGTTTTCATTAAGAAGACCTCAAATCAGGTTAAAGTGGGGATTTCAAAACAAACTCTAGAGTGTGAGAAGAGAAGCAGTCCTTTTTGGGTGATGGGAGAATTCTAGGAACCCCAGACACTTGATACTTGAGATTTGACTGGACACAGTTCACGGTCCTGCAGTGGACTTGGGACATGTGGAGTTTGCTTGAATTTCTAAGAGGAATTCCTCTTTCAATTATGGAAGTCTGAGTATTCTGAAATACTGAAGAGACGTCCTTGGCCAGAAGGTAAAGAAGAGTCATGGAAGGACATTTAAGGAAGCACAGATTCTGCTAAAGGAACTCTTAGTCCCTGCTATGGTGGGACAATCTATGGGCCTTTTATGATGCTATTTACTTTGGGCTGAATCCACATTTGGACTGAAACCACAAAGAAATGGGCATCATCTTATCATCAGTGACACAGACCAGGAATGCCTGCAACATCAGACTAGGTCCTGACAGCACAAGGAGAGAGACACTTGCTACTGAGAAGCATTATTCCTGCAGTGCTCAGCACCTGGCCATAGCTGCATTGGGTCCACAGCACCAAACTCCCCTCTTATCTGACCTGACATTCTAGATTAGAGAGAGCACAGAAAATAGAAACAAGTAAACAGATCTAAACTTAGTATGGCTGATATTGAAAAAAAACGGACAGACAAATAAGGAGGGTCACCATATTCAATGCGCTTCAACAAGACGGGCTTGACAAAGGGTTTCTAATCCCTGTAAACGAACGGTACTAATACTCATCCAATGGCTCAGGAAAGGAGTTATCCTCAAGGCCCATATCAAATCATCAGTAAATCCTATTTGGCTTCATCCTCAAATTACATCCTAGAAGCCAATCACTTTCCGAACTCTAGCCATCATCTCTCTTGGATTACCAACAGTCTCCAAATAGGTCTTGTAGTCTAACCCTGCTGAAGTGAGTCACCACACAGAAGCAGTGATCCTTCACAAGCAGAAATCATATGTCACTTCTCTATTCCAGTGGGGCCCTCAACTTCTAACAAAACTCAATCTCAAAGCAAAACCAAATGCCCCCAAACCCTGAAATCTCAGCCGACTACTCTAATTCTGACAACCTGGATTGCCACTCTACTCTTTACTTGAAGAGCTCTGGCCCCGGGGGCCCCTCTTTCTTTTCCTTGCTCATGCCTTATCTCTTTGAGAACAGCGCTCTTCTCTGAAATCGTCGCGACTGGTCAAACGTCTTTTCCTCTGAGACGTCTCTCCTCACTATCTGATCCTACCTTCTAGCCACTTCAACACTCTGCTTTCTTTTTCTTCGTGATAATAAGTTTTATTGTTACTGTTTACCTGTGTACACGCACTAGTTCAGAACTCTGATAGAATGCCAGCCTCTGCAACTCTGCCTAGCACACTTCCACTTAACGGAATAAAAGACCAAAAACTCGGAGATGGACACATCTTAAGACTACGACGAGCCACTCTGATGTATTGAAGTAGTCTATAATTTATCCGAAAACCATTTGTGGATTTTCAACAAGGGAGTGGAAAGGCTCGATGTGCTGTGAGAAGGTCTGCAGAAGTGCAAGCGCGGAAGGATGAAGCATGCCCGGCGGGAGAGGCGGCGGGGGAAGGCCCTGGTGGCCGCAGGTGCCCGCTCCCGGCCAGGCCTGTCCTGTTGTCCACTCGTGCACAAAGCTCTTGTCGCTGTATACACTCCAGCTCCATGCTTGCACTGCTTCTCACGCCACAGAGCGCCCCGAACCCCTGCGGTGGGCCGGACTCAGCTAACGCACTCGTGGAAATGCATGGCGACCTCCAGAGAAACACAAAAGGTCACGGAGCGCGCGGCCTCCACTTTCCCCCCAGCCCGCGGCGGCGCACCCACACTCACGCGGGCCGGCTCTCGGAGCCGCGGGCCTGGCGACTGAGGAGAAGATACGGAGGCCGCGCGCTCCCGGGCACAGGGTCTGCCTCAGCTGGAGCGCAGCGGCCGCCATGATGAAGGACGGCGAGCCAGAGCGGACAAGCAACGACAGGCGGGAGCGGGACCGGAAGTGCGTCACCTGGGAACGGAAGTGCACTGGGCAAAGGGCTGGCGGAGCTGTGGCTGTTGTTGGTTGATGTGGATGGAGACTCTGACCCAGAAGTTTCTCAGTCTACGTTTACTGTTCTGGGTTTGTTTGTTTGTTTGTTTGTTTGTTTGTTTGTTTGTTTGTTTGTTTGTTTTTTAATGGCTGCTCTAAGACGTTTTTCTCCTTTCCCTTTTATTTATGTGCTTTATGTATATTGATTGGGTTTTGCCTGCGTATCTCAACACATCATATGCCTGCATTTCCCACTTCGGCCAGCAGAGGACATGAAGTTAGGGAAGTTGTGAGCTTCCTTGTGGGTGCTGGAAACCGAACCTGGGTCCCTTGGCGGAGTAGTCCCTGCTTAATCGATGCACCCCCTCTCCACCTCTTCAGCCCCATTTTTTCTTCCATTTTCTTCCTTTCTTCTCCTTCTGTCCTACCTCCTTTTCAGTCATTCTACTCTAGTCTCCCAACTGCTGAAATGGGGCATAACACCTAACTTTACACTGCATATATTTTTTAAAAATTAAAGTGTGTGTGTGTGTGTGCACTAGTAAGAGAACAGTTTAAGGGAATTAGTTCTTTGGTTCCCTCCCATCACCACCTAGGGTAAAACTCCAGTGGAAAGGCTTACATGTCTACTTGCTTTACTATTTCAGCAGCTGTTATATGACTGCAGTCAAACAGAGTAACAATCACCAGAGGCACGGGCGCGGGGGATGACACATGGCACAACACGGCTGCATCCCCTACCATTTTTTTTTTTTAATGGCCTTTTGAACTAGATTGTTTGAGTTTAAATTTTGACCTTGGCTTTTCATGTGTTATTTTTGCGGGGGACCAGAACTGGATTCCTACGGCTGGATGCAGAAAGGCTCATAATCTCAAGAAACCCTTGCTTCAGAGGATCTGGCTTCCATGGACACCTGCACAGTCCTATCACACACAGAGAGATTCAAAATAATCTTTACAAGTAACTCCTTTATAAAAGTATCAATAGGCAAAGATGGTTTACAGTGTAAACCATGTATTAGTTTGCCAGAAGAACTTTCTAAATTCTATGTAATTTTTCAGCCGGAAAGGTTTTGGAAGTACAACCATCCACTGGTGACTTAAGTTCTTATTAAATTCTGAAGGGGGCTCCACATTTTCAGTTTTCAGAGACTCCCTACAAATTACATAGGTAATTCTGGGTAGAACTATTTAAGAATTTTAAGCTTTCCTTTTTAATGGTCTTTTACTAATTTGAAGCCTAGGTTAATATGAGAGATAATTTTTAATAAAAACTAAGTTCTTTATAAAAAGTATGTGAGCAAACTGCGTGTGTTTCCAGATATAGTGCCAATATCCAGGCAGGGAGGGAGCATGCTGCTTCTCCAGCCACCAGAACAGCACTGGTTACATCATGAGATAGAGTTAAGGCAACGTGGATATGTGTTCTGGAGGGAAGACTGGAGAGATTGCTCAGCAGTTAAAAGCAGTGACTGTTCTTCTAGAGGACCCTAGTTTAATTCCCAGCATCCATATGGTGCCTCACAATCATCTGTAAATGAAATTACAGAAGGCAAAATGCCCATATATATTAGATAGATAGATAGATAGATAGATAGATAGATAGATAGATAACCTAGCCTTTCCACTGGGCATGGTGACACATCCCTTTAACCACATAACTCAAAAGGCATAGGCAGGTGGTTTTCTGTGTGTTGGAGGCCAGCCTGGTCTATGTAGTTAAGTTACAAGTCGCCCAGTGATGTACAATGAGACCCTGTCTCAAAAAGAACAGAAAAAAAAGGAAAGAAAAGAAAGAAAATATGGGTCTCAACCTTAACTGAACACTAAAACCACCTCGAGATTTAAAAAAAAAAAAATCTCAGAATCACTCCAAGGTGTTGGCCAATTAATCTAGGTGTCTTTGAGCATTATGTTTTTAGCCTTATTTGTGTTTAATTTATATACATATACATATACATATACATATACATATACATATACATATACATATACATATACATATATATATATAAAGAAAGTTACCCAGATTGTCGGGCTTGGAAGCAAAAGCCTTTACCACTGTTCCATTTTGTTTGTTTGGGGACAAGGGGAATCCAGAATTTCAGAGGTTGAGGCAGGAAGACTTTAAGTTCAAGACCACACTAGACTGCACATTATGTACTGAGATTCTGCCTCAAAAATAACCCAGTACCAACGGAGCCATCTCACTGGCCTTCATACCTTCTCTTTACAGAATCCTTGGAAGTATCTAAAGATGCATTGAAAAGATGCATACATATATTTATTGTGCCATCCACCATAAGATAGAAAAACCCCAAGAATGAGGACTTCATCCTTTGCATACTTGGGTTGACAGGGCATAAAACCGGCCTTTGTTCAATAGACATTCAGCAATAATCTGTGAACAAACCTATCAAGTAACACTAAACCTTTTTTTTTTTTTAACATGCTCATTGGATACAAGGTGAAAGCTGCTGTATATCTTATGCTGCTAAGCACTGCAATAGCTCTCTTTTCCATGGTGTGACAAAATGCTTGGCTGAAGAACGTAAAGAATAAAGGGGTTTATTTTAGCTCAGTCTGAGGGAACAGTGCATCGTGGCAGTAGGATCTTGAGGCTGGTGATGAGCAGCCTCCATAATCAGAAAGCAGTCATGGATGCTGGTACTCACCTTGCTTTCTCTCTTTATTCAGTCTAAGGCCCCAGCCCATGGGATGGCCATATTCATCATGGGTCTTCCAAACTCACAACCACATTCAGAGGCGTATTTTCTTGTCAATTTTAAATCCAGCTATAGTTTGTGATTATTCATCACAAATACTATGTTGCCTGAGAGGAGAAATGGATGGGTATTCCATATTCTTTAATGTTTATATTTTACAGTACTAGTAGATGGACACCTTGTACATGTTAGGCAAGCATCTACCACTGAGCCAGATCCTCAGCCCTATTAAAAACTTTTTTTAAAGTTAAACTGATAAGTAATCATGTATATTGATACTCACTACAATATTAAACACTGCATCTCATGCCAATTTCCAAGATAGGACTGTCTTTCACTCTTCCTTATTCTAACTTCCTTAAGGAGGGGGCTTCAGGCTGAATACATGTTTCAAGGATGAAAAAGCAAGGCAGAGGAGGCTGTGTACTCAATTCTTTCTTGAAGGAGATGCCATAGGGATTACAGAAATTCTTCCCCTGCTTTCTCCAGGTCGTGTCTGTGTGGCCACTCTTAACAGGAGGTTTGGGGGCCGCTATTACTTAAACTTGCAAGGTGTATTCACATTTGAACTCAAGGCCCAGTGGACAGAAGACAGGAGCAGGCTCTTTCTTTAGGTTCTGCCCATACTAAAGTAATGTCTACCTCTGTTCTCTGCACATCCTGTGTGCTCGATACAGTGGGATGCAGTGGACTTGAATAAGTGCTAAACACTGAAGACTGGATTACAAAATAGGTAGTGCTATATTTTTGTTTGTTTTTGAGACTGTATCCCAGGCTGGATATGAATTTATGGGAATTCTCCTGCCTCCTGCCTCCAGCCTCCAGCCTCCAGAGTGCAGGTATGAACCACACCTTTCCTACTCCCTTATCCTTAACCTTTGAATGGAAAACCTTGGAGGCATTAGGAATCTAGAAGAAATCAAAGGGCACATCTCAGAGGTTTAACCGAAGAAAAGGTATTTATAACGTACGGCAGGAGTGAGACAAAGCAAAAGGGATTACCAAAGTACCCAGGGAAGTGACAATGGCCTGGAGAGGACAGGTGGAGTCACAGAGGAGTGCCAATTAAATAGGCACTATTGGTAACCCACTAGGTATTTGTAACTAGATACCTGAGTCCCAGAATAGGTTGGTAAGGGCTGGAATCAATAGAGGGAAAAACATGGAACTGGAGAAAAACTAGCTCCAGGATAAGTGAGTGGAAATGGGGAAGCATTGGTTTCAGGTTTGACCTCATACCTTCCTCAACAACTGACCTGTCAGCAGTCCTGTATAGACTCAGTGGCCTGCAATGAGCCTTTCTAAATAAATGATGTAGAACAGAAAAGTTCCAGTGACACAGATCATAACATCAAATGTACTTACTTTAAACGGCCATCTAATATGCTACCTGCTACCATCTTGCCTTCAATGATGTCATCCAGCCTTGCAAGAGCCCTAGATTCCCAAACCTAGAGAGGACCAAGGCCATGGGAAGCCCTGTCAGAATGAAAAAAAAAATGTTTTTGGAGGGTAGATACGTAGAGATTTGGTCCATGTTGTTTGAAGACAAGTTTCACTGGGTAGCCCTCGCTGACCCAGAGTTCACCAGGTAACCCAGGTTGGGCATCAAATTCATAGCCATTCTTCCTCAGGCTGGGATTACATGTTTCAGCAAGGGTTACACACTAGGGAACAGACTAAGAAGGACAGCACGGAGTATAGCACGAGTGAGGCAGAGACAACCAGCTTCCTCACAGGTGAGCATCTTTGTGACCACAGCACTCGCAGTGCTCAAGAGTCAGGCCATTTTATGTATTGCCGGAAGAGTTGGAGCCCTGGCTTTTTGTTAGCAGCTCATGACTTGGGCATCACACACATCGTAGACAAACAGTACCACATACCTACTTCTTACTAGAGCCTTATGTGCAAATTATAATAATATATTTAAAGCAGTGGGTCCAACGTGAGGTCAATAAATAATGGCACTTGCTCTTTATATTGTTAAATCTCAGGAAGACATTTTAGAAAATATGACTTGTGTTTGAAAATACATTGCTTACTGTGAGTACACATACTGCAACAAGGAATTCTTTCACAGGTGACTCAGTAACTCATGGTCAAATTAACACCCGGTTGAACCCTTCATTAAATCCTTTGAAAGTTCTTTATGTGTGGAGTTGCTGGGAAGGAGCACTTGTGGAGATGGGGCTCAGAGGGCCTACAGTGGGAAGTTTTCTTTAGGATTCCTGAACTAAAACTGGCACCCCACACATCTGATCAATAGATGCTCTCCCTACAACAGCAGTAACATGCCTGTGACTACAAGACAAGTTCAAAGACAACTTTTTTTTCCAAATCAAACTTTATGTATAATTTATGATTTTCTCTTCCAGTTTTTAGTTTTGAATAAACAAAGCCCAAATTAAATTTTCCCAAGACACAGCTAGGTTTTGTTTTTTCGCAGCTTTTGGCCCAGGTGATCACTTTCAGTCAATGTAGGGGGTGGATAACCCTGTGCTGGGGAATCGTCCTAATCTATCTTACAGGCCAGTCACAGCAACCTGCCCAGTTTAGAGGATGCGGATGTAAGCCCTGCCCATGTCACTCAGCCCATCTCTTTTACTCAGACAGTTCCCCAGCAGCTCTTTGATGGAGACACAGTCTTCTGTTTCCAGCACAAACTGCTCCAGAGCCTCACGTCCTGGCAGCTGGCTCTCCACCATCCCGTTTCTGACACTCTCCAGGACAACGCCCCTGATGGCTTTAGGTTCTCCAGGCACACCGAAGATGATAAACAGACCCAGACAGTCCTCTCCTACCAAGTTACAGAACTCTTCCAGCTTGTCAAATCTGCCCTTTTTCCAAGACTCCTTTCCCCTTGACTCACAGGAATTTGGGTCCCTCAGAGGGATAGAAGCCATCCTCAGGGCCTGCACTGCCACCTGAAGCCGTATTTGCTTATCAGGCCCCCAGAAGGTCCAAATCCAGTCTGCTCCAAACAGGAAGGCCTGGTGCTTGGTCATCTTGGTGGTGGTGAGCCATTCATCAGCTCCCCTCTCCTGGCAGAAAGTAATGAAGTGGACGAGGAAGATCTCAGTCAGTGAACTTGCCGCAAGGCAAAGTCTGCTCAGCGGATACTCAAACCCAAGGTACTCCTTCAGCTTCTGCGCCGCATGGGAAATAGCTGCACTGACCACCTCACACATGATGAGGACCTCTTGGGTGTTCTTCGGAGCTACCTGCTGGGAGGCCTTCTGCCCCATTTTCTCACACCCAGTAAATGCTGCTCCTAGCTATCCAGCATGTGAATGTCGCCGGGAACTGCCTCTTTTTCAGAGATCTTCTTCAGCAAAGTCACATCTGTTAAAGTCACCACTGGCTTCCCGATGCCACAGCTTCCTTGGTGTGGCTAGCCATATAGACCTGAGGCTAGACAAACATGTGAGGGAGGGCCCCCTGTTTGTGAACTAGGTGTGTTGTGCTCACACAGATTCCTGATGCCTGCCAAGTGACAAACGGCAATTTCACACAAAACACCTGTTCTATTCCAGGTTATGTACAGGCTACATTTGATTCTTGGTAAACTCTTCCTGGATATGGCTCCTGTTTCCAAAAACTCGTCAAAATAAAACCAGCATGTGAATGTATGGGTTAGACTCCTACATTCTCCAACCAATGTCTCCATGCTTGTGTCTCTTCTGGTTCCTTTTCTTTATGCATCTGTTCTGACTCTTCCTTCCCCGGGTGGGTTGCTGGCATTTCCTTTTATACATACTTCTTAAACAGGGATCTCAATCTGTCTGATTCAAACAAACTCAATCAAACGTGCAAGTTTACATGCAAGGATTGGTTACTGTTTCCAGCAGAAATGAAGACTTTGTTTTTCTGAACAAAGAAACATTAATGACAAAAATACAAGGCAATTATCAACTGACTTTATTTCCTCTCATAAGGTAATGTGAACTTTGCATAATACTTTTGTAAATAAAATATATAATCAAAAGTTTTTAACTTTATCACATATCATCAGTTGTTACACTGTCCTTAATAAAGAATATTTGGCATCTGTAACAGTCTGCTGGTATTTTCAACCAGGCTCTAATGACAAATTGAGCTTTTCAAATGGTGATATTTATTCATGTTAAACTAAAACCCCGATACAAGAAGAAGCCAATGTAGTCATGAAATAATGAAGGGGAACATTCAAAGGAAATCACTGTTAGCATCTGGTATTTAATTAGAAATAAACAGCAGTGTTACAACGGTTCACGATGAACAGCTTTATAACCTGCAGAGCATAAGAAAGGAATACTGCTGACATTTGGAAATGGCTACCACCAGATCTATCACCATAAACTGACCTGTCCACCTGTCCCCCAGTGTGTAAGCTCCTGTCCGGAACACAGGTGGTCTCATTTTGAGTAGCCCTGAATGGAAAGCAGATTGTCTCTAACACTGCTAAAAACACTCATAAACACACACCACAGAACACTTGCTTTGTAGATTTCTATTTTCTTTACAAAAAGCCTTTGGGCCCTTTGTGACGGAAAACACGAGCAACGTGCTACTGGACAGGATAACCATTAGAAAATGTTCTGCAGCTTTAAAATATTTGGATCTGGATTGAAATAATATAAAGCTCCATCAGCTGACCTGAGTGTAAGGTACAGTCGACATGGCTATGCCGATTCCTTATTTCAACTTAACGATGAGTTTAGCAAAGAAAAAAAAGAAACTTAAGATGTAAAGATTCCATTTTTTTTTTGTTTGTTTGTTTTTCCCAAGTCATTCTAACAAAAACTTTTCTGATGAGGATGTAAGTACTTCCAAAGGCTTCGAGTTGATGAGGTAACACCTAAAATTAATTTTATGGGAACCAAAGAAGTGTACCATGTAGAATTTAGCCCGAATGGTCAACACTGTTAAAATTCAGTGGAGAAAAAAATGGGACTGTGGTATCTCCAGGAATCAGCTGGTATATGATCACTGGGGTTTCTTTGCTTTAACACGATCTTCTGATCCTTGTGTCACAAAATAAAGGTTCTGTTTTCTGTATACTGTATATATACATGTATTTAGAAAAATATATAAAAATAAGACAGCGAGAGGCAAGTGGAGGTGCTGCTGGCATGGTGGCACTGGCACTGTGACCTGGAGAGCAGCACGTTCAGCTCAGCCGTGAACACTGATGTGGCCAGACCCTCCCTCCTGGGGATGTGGGCGAAGCACTCTGGTAAACACCCAACCGTAAATGCAACACTTCCGATAGCACATGTCACAAACTTTACATTAAATAGAGGCAGAGCAAGCGCACTTCCGTTCACCAGTGTCTTTTTTCACTCAGCATCCTCAGAATTGGCACCATTCCCGTATCTCCTCCTGAGCTTGCAGAAGCCCAAACAATAAACAATGCACAACCTGTCACCTGCTGTATACACTGTCCGAGAAACAAAGTTGGAAAATGACATCTGTGATCCTGGCATGTGCCCAGGTGCTCTGCTCAGACGTTGGAGTCTTCATCTGTGATGCTGGCACTGGGGGAGCGGGCAGCAAAATCCTTAAACATGTCATCTTCCTTTAACATGTGCTGAAAAGCAAGGGACACTGAGTTACACAGAGTCCCGGGCTCAGCACCGCATGCCTCCAACATGCAAGTAGGTGTTTGTGGCTTTAGGTGCTTTTAGAATAACATTTGCAACTCACTGTACACACTCACCGTGAGATTGTTGATGCCTTCAGAAAATGCACCTATCTGTCTCACCGTCCCTTCTGAATCTTCCATCTGCCAAGAACAGATCACAAAATCACAAGCTCATTTGTACAATTTCAAAAGTGCAGACAACTGAATGACAGTCTAAAAAGATAGCATGTACACAGCATTGAATGCAGAAGGGACAAGAGTGACTCTGTGCCTCAGTTTCCCTTCTTCGACACTTTCAAGGTCTCAAATCAACACCAACAATAAAAGTACGTCATGTGCTGAGGATACACCGGGAAGCGGGTGGCAACCTGCAGCTATTCAGGATGCTGGGCTATTTTTATTTTCAGGCCTGGGAAGACAGCACCCTTCCTCAGTGATGGTGTGCAAAGCTTCCAATCAGTGTCTGCATGGCCGTGGGCACCTTACCTGCTCTAACCGATCCAAATCATCCTCTTCGTACAGGCGCATGTCCAAGCCAGGTCTAAACCCCTTCTGGGAGCTACTCGACGCCTGGCCTAGCTCCATCGGACAAACATACTCCTCTCCATCTTCATGTTTCTTCTTCCTCAGATTCCCAAAGTTGCCAAACGTCAGTTTCTTTGGCTTTAAAAGCAAATAAAAAGACACCCAGAGATAAAATCCCTATAACAAAGGACTAATTACACCTATAAGTTAATTATTCACCTTACCACACAGGGGAAACAAATTTAATGATCAAATTATCACCAGAAAGCCAGAAGCATGTCAGACACAGTAGCAGCACACCCAGATATTATAAATAGTCTTGGTGTAACTTTCAAAAGGTTAATCTCACTGTTGTGCCACGGGCTGGACATTTCAAAATCCTTTGTTTGGATTAGACAGGGCTTAACACGATAGAATTCCTCTCAGGTATGAGTCAAATTTTGCAAGACTATTCAGTCTAAGATCAGTTAAAGACAGTGGTCCTCACTGGGCCTCTGTGGCACGGTCCTGCCTGCAAGTGCAGCTACTTGGTAGCTGAGGCAGGAGAATCACAAGCTTAAGGCCTGCCTGGGAAGTCTAATAAGAGCATAACTCAAAATAAAAAAATAAATTTAAAAAGAAGGGGCTGACTGGGGTGTACAGATCAATGGTAGAGCACTTGGTAAACATGATTAAGAGAATAAGTTCAATCCCAAATTGGGTGGAGAAGAAGGAAAGAGACAGTCGGGAAGGGAAGGCAGGTAATAAAGCTGGGACTATTTTGTTTGCCTTTTGTGCTTCATAGTAGGACTGGTGAGTGATAAAAGAATTAACACTCTTTGAGACTGATCTTTAGGAGAGAAATGTCATCTTAATCAGTACACAGTCCCCAAGGAGAAGGAATTCAAATGCAGACAGGGTAAAAACAACAACAACAACAACAACAACAACAACAAGAACAAAGAGAGCTCAGCATATATTTCTGGGAGAACTCATAAGTGGTCTTCACATTAAGGATGTGAAAATAATACATCCAGACAAGTTAATGTGACAGTATCTCAGAAGAAGAAGAAAAAAGGAATCTGAATTTGGCACAAGCCTCAAACCTTGGTAAGTAAAAACCACCCCAGGGTCATTATGTGTAGCTCAGACCACCTTTGAATTTACATCTCAGACCATCTCCTGCCTCAGATTCTTGCATGCTAGGATTGCAGGCAGATATCATAACCTCTGGTTTTATCTCTCTTCATTTTTTGAGTTAGAGACGAAGCTTTATTTAAAATTCTAATTTATCAAGTTAGCATTTTCAACAGACCCAGAGAGCAACAATCTTCACAGTCTTTTGTTTAGGTGCTGCCTTTGTGGGGCTTTGTCAGCAGCCATTGCTGTCTTCTTTGCTTCCTCAGCAGCCTTGACAGCCTGCTCTCTTGAGTGTCCTACTTCTGGTTTCTGAGTCCTCTTGGCCATTATGTCCCGAGGCGATGCACCAAAGATGGCTTGCAGGAATCTGGCTGTATACAGGATTCTTTTCATTTAATTTTTTCCTAACTGTCCTTTTTTTGTGGTTCCTTTTACAGAGGACAGTCTGGTTTATCTGTAGAGCATTCCTTTCCAAAAGGAATGCTGACACACATTGTATATTAAGAAACCGGAAAACAACAGAACAACAGAAGCTGACCACATGTTCCTCAACTCTAATAACATAAATGACTTCAGCAGAAACTTTCAAACATGCAGTCCCTTAATTCGTCTTGAAATTTATAGGTATGTGTACATATAGATATTTTAAACTCATTTTAAAAAGGGGTACATCTTAGAAAATGGAATAATGGGGCCTTTGTAAACACTGTGCAATGGTTAAATGCCAAAATCCTGAACCAACCTTCACTTTGGCAGTAGCTGTTAGCAGCACATAGTCTGGTAACTCCATGGCATCTCGCTTCTGGTGCTGGGCCTCAGCTCCAATCAGAAGGTTAAAATGGGTAGCCAAATGTCTGCGCAGCAAGGTTTTATTTGGTGGAATGTTCAATAACTGAGCCATAGTTTCTACATTAAAACGAGGCTCAAGAACCTGTAAGAAAAATCGGGATTGGTAAAAAGAATCATAGCTCACACACAGTTGAAATGGAGGTATTTCACACTGCAAAAATTGCTCATTTGGGCAACAGCTCTCAACAGCCCAGGGCATGAATTCCTTCCTTCCTTCCTTCCTTCCTTCCTTCCTTCCTTCCTTCCTTCCTTTTTCTTTCTTTCTAAGATCTATTTTTTTAATGTGTAAAAGTGTTTGCTTACCTGCGTGTATGTGTATCATGTGTGTACAGTAGTGTCATGGATGGCAGAAGGTCTCAGGAGTTAAAGATTGTTACTGCCGGGGCTGGAGAGATGGGTCAGTGGTTAAGAGCACTGACTGCTCTTCCAGAGGTCCTGAGTTCAATTCCCAGCAACCACATGGTGGCTCACAACCATCTATCTGTAAAGGGATCTGGTGCCCTCTAGTGTGTCTGAAGACAGCTACAGTGTACTCATATACATAAAATAAATAAATCTTTTTTTTTTTTTTTAAAGACTCATTTATTTATTTTATGTATTCACCATTGCTCTCTTCAGACACACCAGAAGAGGGCATCAGAGCCCACTAAAGATGGTTGTGAGCCACCATGTGGTTGCTGGGACTTGAACTCAGGACCTCTAGAAGAGCAGTCAGTGCTCTTAACCGCTGAGCCATCTCTCCAGCCCAAATAAATAAATCTTTAAAAAAAAAAAAAAGATTGTTACTGCCACCATGTGGGTGCTGAGAACTAAACCCAAGTCCTCAAGAGTAGCCGTGCTTTGAGCTGTCTCTCCACCCTGAACTTTGATTTCTAATTCACACATCACTGTGCCCGAGAGAGGTGTGTAATCCAGGCTTCAGGGGACAGCAGCAGTGCGACTCCATTTGGAATGCTACTCTGAAAGCAGCTGCTCATGGAACACCAGTGTGCAGAAATACAGTCTGCACATATGCAGGAGTTTAAAACCAGAATCACATGAGAGATGGCGGGTGTTATTCAGTCGGGAGGGGGAATAAAAAGAAACAGGCTTAAGCCTAATTTAGAGGAAGACACTACAAATACTCTGCAAGTGAATTCCAGGGGAGTACCCTAGGAGGGCTGGGGTCACCTATGGATTACTGAAAACAAACTGATGTACAGTGAGTGTCCTTTGCTGCAATGCTTGGAACCAGTGTTCAGATTTCGGAACATCAGCATCAAATGATGATTCATTTTGGGGGTAGAATCCAAGTTCCCGCACAGACTCGCTGATGTTTCATAGGCACACAGTAGCCTCATGGTGACTCTTGCAATTCTTCTAGCACACAGAGCCATTCTATCATGGCCGGGTGTAGAATTTTCTACTTGTGATGTGGAAACAAATGTTCACAGATTTTAAAGCAATGTAGATTTCAGACCCAGACTGCTCACCCTTTAGACTAAAGGAAACCAAGGAAGCAAATGGTTAATTTCAAACTGAAAGAGCTTTACCATGAGCCCTCCATGGACACCACTGCCTCTGAGATTAGGGGCATATTCTGCCAAGTCCACAGAGCGCAGCCACTCCATCACACGATGATTGGTCCACTGCTGAACCTCAGACGGGGTGATGCTGTTCTGTGGGAACAAACACATATTCGACGCTTCAGATGCTGATGGCAGGACCCTGAACCTGCACACACGCAGTCTAACAGGTCTGGCCCATGGAGCATACTGTCTAATGTCCCATGAACTAGTCAAAGAAAAGGCCAAACAAGTGTTTGCTAATTTGACGGCTCTCTTTGAAAGAACGTATACCACAGATTCAAGCTTTCTTCTGCAGCAGTAAGAAAAGGTAAAGGAAATATTTCAGTGACATTTTACTCCATGGATTGAGGTAGCAGGAAAAGTACAGTCCATGAAAAGGAGGAAGCAAGAGTAAGCAGAAAACAACTTTTGGCTTCAATGACACAGTGGAATCTTCATGGGTATAAAATGGAGGGACATAGGAAAGCCCAGAAGTCAGTGAGTCTGGATCTGAGCTCTGAGGAGACCAGCTCTTTCTGCAGGTTCCAAGAAAAAAGGGCTCTAAGTTTTCCAGGCTCTAAGTTTTCCACACACGGATTGCCAAGTTCACATATGCAAACTTCTTATCTGAGATGCTACCTCGTCAGACGGCCGTCTCCGAAGACAGTTTGGCTCAAAGTTATTGATCCTCAGGACTTGGATGGCCCGTTTGATACTGAGATGGTGCAGCACACTCACAACCTTCAGGGACAGTAGGTCATCCTGCAGAGGAGAAATGAGGAGCTCACTGTGGTGTCCCACAGCAGGGGTCAGGGGCTCCCTGGAGAATCCCGGAACTCTGCCATTAAAGTGGAAATCACTCTGCTTGTGATTTCAGTTTTCATTTAGTAACAGAACTCCTCTCCTGTTCTCAACAAATCCCTCTCTAGAAAGTCAAATTCGTATTGTTCCCCTAAACCTGCCACATCTCCATCACTCTTCCACTTGTTTGACAGGATAGTATCATCTCAGTGCTCTGAAGAGCAATCACTGGTCACTACAAAAGATAGTCTGCCTTTTATTCAGGGGCAGGAAGAAACAGTGTCTCTTTGAAGCCAGGCTAGTCCCAACTCAAGATACTCCTGTCTCAGCCTGAGGATCCAGCTATACCACTCCTGGGCATATACCCAGAAGATGATCTAACATATAACAAGGACACATGCTCCACTATGTTCATAGAAGCCTTATTTATAATAGCTAGAAGCTGGAAAGAACCTAGATGTCCTTCAACTGAGGAATGGATACAGAAAATGTGGTACATTTATACAATGGAGTATTACTCAGCTATTAAAAACAATGAATTCGAGAAATTCTTAGGTAAGTGGATGGAACTAGAAAAAAAATCATCCTGAGTGAAGTAAGCCAATCACAAAAGAACACACATGATATACACTCATTGATTATTGGATATTAGCCCAGAACCTTGAAATACCCAAGATTCAACTCATAGGCCACATGAAGCTCATAAAAAAGGAAGACCAAGTGGGGGTGCTTCAGTCCTTCTTTGAAGGAGTAACAAAATACTCAAGGGAGCAAATATGGAGACAAAGTGTGGGACAGAAACTGAAGGAGGAGCCATCTGGAGACCATTCCACCTAGGTATCCATCCCATGTGCAGTCACCAAAGGTAGACGCTGATGTGGATGTCAGGAAGTGCATGCTGACAAGAGCCTGATATAGATGTCTCCTTAGAGGCTCTGCCAGAGCCTGACATATTCAGAGGCAGATGCTCACAGCTAACCATTGAACTGATCAAGGGGTTCCCAATGGAGGAGTGAGAGAGAAGACCATAGGAGCTGAAAGGGTTTGTGGCCCCATGAGGAGAGCAACAATACCAACCAACCAGAGCTCCCAGGATGTAAACCACCAGCCTGGGAGCAATTAGGGAAGGATCCATGGCTCCAGCTATATATGTAAGGGAGGAGGGCCCTGTCAGGCATAGGTGGGAGAAGAGATTCTTGATCTCGTGAAGGCTGGACACCCCAGTGGGTGGGAATTTGAGTGTGGGGAGGTGGGAGTGGAAGAGTAGGTAGGGGGACATCCGCAGAGAAGCAGGAGGAAGGGTGATGGGATAGGGAGTTCCTGGGCGGGGAGGGGCAGGATGGGGTAAGGGGATAACATATGAATTGTAAATAAAACATTCGATAAAAAAATTAAATAAAATAAAATGCCTATTTGGGACTGGGAAGATAGCTCAGTGTGTAAAGTGTTTGCTGTCATAAGCATGAGGATCTGGATTCAATCCCCAGAACTTACATTAAAAAGAAAGAAAGAAAGAAAGAAAGAAAGAAAGAAAGAAAGAAAGAAAAAAGAAAGCTGAGACTGGGGGCTGTGGTGCTGAGCCTTGAGAATTCCTGTTTCCTCCTTAGTCCCCAGAACCTGATCTGCATACAAAGCAGACACTGGACCACCTGAAGGTCAGCAGCCAAACTGGTCTCCTCAGCACACAAACTTCATGAGCCTTCCTGGCCTGCAATGTTTGCCGATCAGTTATTGCTTCACCTAGCAGACTTGGTAACCAATGTTGAAAAAAAATGTCCCTCAGTAAAAGGGTTTAGATAATAATAAAAGAAAGAAGAAATGAAGACTTCTAAGTTTCAACACATCACCAATAAATTTCTTCAAGGAAACACTTTGGACAGTCTGAGGCCATGGGGAGCAATTCCAACCATGCCCAACACACTTAAGCAAATTATCTCAGTAGTGAGTTCAGGGCAGTGCCAAGACAAATCTTATAAACACACCCAGAAAATAAGCAGAGGACTGTCCATGTAGGCACACAGCAAACTGTTATCGATAACACATTTCTTGGAAAAAAAATAAAAGAAATTAACATACTATAAAAATATTAAGAGTAAAAAATAGTTTATTCTGGAGACTACTGAGCAAACGTTATTTCCTAACTTTTTTGTGAGATAATTTATTAAAATTAATGTCTTAAAATACAATAAAAAACAACATATTTTAATCTAAAACTGAGATACTTACTCCAAACACTTCAGTATAGGCTACTTTCATTTAATTAACATCTATCAGATTAAGAAACATCTAAATATATACTGTTTCTAATATAAATAAAATGTTAATTATTTCTGAAAATATATTTGAAAGATCTTTTACAAGGACTACTTTCATTTGAAACCCTTTTTAAGTCTAGGCATTATGGTGCAGCCCTTTAATCCCAGCACTTGGGAGGCAGAGGCAAGAAGATCTCTGTGAGTTCAAGGCCAGCCTGGTCTATATAGAGAGTTCCAGGCCAGCCAGAGCTACACAGTAAGATCTTATTAAAAAACAATAGCAAATAAATAAACACATGGTTTATTTTAAAATAAATTTAGACTTAAATAAGGATTTCTAGACAGTGTTGAGTTCTGTGTGTATGTCATAGTTTCTCCTAATATTCACAACTTAGGAAACTATGGCACACATCAAAATTAAGAAACTAACACGAATAAAATTAGTCCAGACTTTATTCAGCTTTTGCCGGTTTTAAGGTTTATTATCTTCATTAGTCCATGTGTATGGTGTGTGTGGAAGAAAGCACACACACACACCAAGCACACACACTCTCTCTCTCTCTCTCTCTCTCTCTCTCTCTCTCTCTCTCTCTCATCTTTCCCACATTCACCAAGTTCACGCACATTACATACAAAGCTCTCTCTCATGCACACACACATATCAACCTCACATGTACACCATTCTCGCTCCCCCCCCACACAGACACACACACACACACACACAGACACACACACACACACACACACGAGGGTCAGAGGACGACCCTGTAGACTCAGTCCTCACCTTTCCATAGGTCACAGGAATAGAACTAGGTCACAGGAATAGAACTAATGCTCTCAGGCTAGCCCAGCAAGCACTACCTGTTCAGCCATCTCATCTCAGGCTTCCAAACTGGTTTTTTACTCCCTGGCTTTTGCCAGTTTCCTACTAAGATCCTTTTTCTGTTCCTGGAGCCAATCCAGGGAACCACATCCTAACAGGGACTTTCTGCTTAGGACTCACAGGTCACTCTTTTCAGGGTCCCTCAGTATCTTTCAGGCATAAAGGTCTTAAGTGTGCTTCCCGTGATTTTTGAGTTGCTTACATTCCCTCGGGACATCTGACCCATCACATCCCACAGACATGGACAGAGGCAGGTCAGATGTCACTGTATTTGTCCCAAGTGGAATGGTGAGCAATGAAAAGAAGAACCTGGAAGCAGCCTAGGTTCAAATTCTCTATGACTTCCTGCTACTTAGTAACCATGGAAACCTGGTTACAGTCCCTAACTTCTCAGAAAATTGTTTCCTAGCCTTAAGAATAGAGATGTAATGGAATTAAAAGGTTACTGAGAATCCATGAATGCGGTTCTTAAAAAAGACAGCGGCTATAAAATATGCCAAGCTCATTATGGTCATTCATGCAAGGTTACATGATGTTCCCGCCAAGCTTGCGAGTACTCTGGCTCAATGATAAAAGAATGCAAATCCCATGAACTCAGCTCCAAATTCCTTTCACAATGAAAAATTTTTATGGAATTAGCAGGTTAAACTTTCCATTTACTTAACAAAGAAAATACCTATGGGGCTCCCTACCTTACAACATACTCTTTAAATAGAAATATCTTATATAAAACATTAATCATACTATGGAATCTAGAACAAGGTTCTCCTGGCATCCATATCCCCTGCTGCTGTACATAAGGAACGGTCTTCCTACTCACTGGCTGGAAGCCTGGGAACTTCTGATAGAGAAGGGAGCGGCTCAAGTCCAGCCTCCCACCTCCTTTATCCCCATAGCCCCTGCCCTCAGGACTGATGTGAAGAAGATTTCAGGGAGCAGTCATGGGAAGGAAGGCAAGGGAGGAGGCCGGTCCTTGTGGATACCAGGGCAAAGTGGGACATGCGATGCAGAAATGACCAGGGCTTCAACCCTTTCTATCTTGTAGCAGTTATATGACAGAATTCACATACCATAAAATGCAAACACCCACAATGTACACTTCAGAACTCACCTTGTTGACTATCTCAGTCTCTGGATAGCTTAGACTAAATATAGTTTTGCCTGGCTTAAGTTTCTAATTATCTCAAAGCTGTACCAACTGCCAAACTCTGCAACATCACTTCACAGGAAATACCCCAACAGAGAGCTACTAACCACAGTCATGTAGTGTAGCATTCGACCGTCCACCCGCCCTTCATCAAACTGGGTCTTGTACTGAGGGAGGCCAATATCATCCAGCCATCCTAAAGGAGAAAAGCCAGTGTCATTACCAAGTTACGAAATGCCCGTTTCTGTGGTCAAGGGGAAAATGTGACGATGTTTATTCTTCTTTAAGCATAAAGGCCTCTTACTAGTGACCCAGTTGAAGTCTAGCTTTCCATAGTTGGTTTCTTCTTCAGATCCCAGGGCCTGCAGGGCCAGCTGGAGCTTCTTTCGATGCAGTGAATGCTTGATGCCAAGCTCCTGAAACAATAAACAGAACCTCAGAATTCTATCCATGGGGCTGGATCCACCAACAAAGAATGCAGAGTCCCCCACAGTGAAGCTTCCCTTCAAGACCAGCCCTGTATTAAGTTAGAACACTGCCTCAGGCTAATGAATGATCCATTCTCTATTGAATTATAGTATGAACCTCAGGCCAATACAGCATTGCTGAAGAAAAGGCCCAAGTCTACCACAGTGGGCTGAGTGGAATGTTATACAACGCCTAGAGATACATTTTATTTGTAATAAACTGTTGAATACATAATGGGGATTTGACTTCTAGCTTGTGTACAACGTTTGATAATTACAACATAAAATACATAAAGTCTTCTTTCGTGAGGTAAAGCTGAATCGCACATATTATATTGAAAAGATAAGTCAATGTAAGTTTACAAAATGACTGAGACATAGGAGCTGTATTCATTTTATGAAGTCTACTCAGTATATAACACCTATAGAATTACATAAACTAATGCTTTTCATTACGGGTTCCACTCACACCGCTCTGTCTCAGGATAGTAAAGGATCCTACATCGATACTCTGGTGGGGTAGGTGTTGCTAGGGACTGAACCTTGGGTCTCACATGTTAGACAAGCCCTGAGCTACGTTTCCAGCTACACATGCACATCCTCTTCCCTTCCTCACATGTACAGGCAGAACGGAAACCATTACCTTCTCTAGATCTTGCTGAGAAGCCTGCAGAAGAGTCTGGCCAGATACAATCCAGTGCTTGCAAGAACTCAGGTAGGACCCCAACCCTTGTTCTGCCAGCCAGCTGCACACCTGCTCCTTGGTCCATTTGGCAAACGGCATATCTAGGTCACTGTGGGAAATGAGAAACAGCCCTAAGCCAGTCCTGCAGCGTACAGTCAATACTGAGCAACTGCACACACAATCGATATGAAAATTCCCTGGCAACACACATTTAACCAAGAAAAACCTAGTTTTCAGTTTGAGATTGGAAAGTTGCTTTCTAAAATCCGTGTTTTGAATTCACAAGAAATTGCAAAAGGGCCAACAGGAGCTACTGAGAACACACACTACAGAAAAACACAAAGATGAGTGATGTTTTCCACATTCATGTAAGTTATGTTTTCCACATTCAAAAAACTGTCCAAAGAGCAGACTCCCAAACTGAAAAGGCTGCTTAGCTGAAAGAAACTCAAGAACACTATGAATTCATTTCAGCAGAATTATGGTCCCTCTCTAGCAGAGAATCAATCACTGAGAAGATAATATGCTCCTGTTACGTACAAGAAGGAACACTCCAAGTGAAGTTTCTAGGTTTTTTTTTTTTACTTACACAGCTTTGTTGCTTGGAAAAAAATTTCAAAGTGATATGGCTAAATTTTTAAAAAATATATTATTTTATATTGTGTGTATATGATGAAAACTTTTTTTTTAATAGCACAAGGGAGTTCTTTATTGTACTTATGAAGACATATGGCAAGTGAGAACATCTGTTATCTGAAGGCCAAAGGGAACTTCTTGATGAAACCCATGTCCAGGACTCCGCCTGTGTGGGAGTCTGTGTTTCCAGCTGATTATTCTTTAAAAAGCCCTGCATCAACACCTTGCTCTGTATGTTTGCCAGCCCCGCCCTCTATACTCAGGAGGTCAGTGTGGTCACCTCCAAACTCATTCTGTGTTTTAATAAAGCACAAGGGAAGTTCCAGCAGTCCGAGTGAGTGAAACACATAGCCTTTCCCCCAGCTACTGTGACGAGGCTTTTATTCATTTGGTGGAACAATGTCTGGTCTTGATAAGCTCTGGAGTTCTGACACAATGTGTCTTTACGTACTTTCAAAGGCTCTATCAAGTTGCTAATGTTTACTGATCAGTTGTTATTAGACAGATACTTAATAGACATCAACTCAATCCTCACAATCACCTCTAGGGATAGGTGCTGGGTCCCACTGTGGTTAGAGGAAAGTGAATCAGAGCATGAAGCTCAAGGTCACATGGGTGGTAGACACGAGGCTGGAGACCAAGTCTGACTCCAGAATGTAATTTTTACCGCCCCACCTCCCATTTCTCAGTGCTTGACTCGGGACTAGGACCCCTAGTATGCATGCCACACAAGGTCTCTGCTATTAAGCCACAAGCCCAGCCCTTAGAACCACCTCCTGACCGCTAGACTGCCCCACCTTTACAAGACTATATCTACATAAACATTAAGCCCAGGGACCACCCTGACACCTCACATACTCACACAGCCGTCAACCACTGACAAGCAGAACCACTTTCCCAGGCAGAGCAGTACTTCAGCAATAGTGACATCACAGATGTACAAACCTGTTAGACTGTCCTAAATCTCGAGACCAACCAAGCCTGGGTCCTGCAGTTGCCCTTGTCCCTCCTCTTTTGAATTCAGGCTCAGACATGTCATCTGGGTTGAATGTAGTTGACTGACTTCTTCGAAGTCTGAGAACACAACACACATGGCCATACGTTAGACCCGAGGAGGCTTCTGCCTTGGTGGTTAATCGTAAGGTTTTGTTTGTTTGCTTTTGTATGTCATTAGCCGAGATATTTGAATTTAAATATTAACCAAGGCCCAGTGAGCATCCCGGATTCAGTCTTCCTTCCAAAAAGCCTTGGGATTTGGTGCCCACTCCCAGCCAAACTTCCCATAGTCCTCTGGACCTGAGCAGCACATGAGACAGGTACTCCACCTGCCCTTCCTTCCACTTACTTCCCAAAGAGTCTCATGATGCCTCTGGATTTCTTTCTGGAATCTGGAGATGGTGGAGACATTGGGAATGGACTGGTTCCCTGTGAACCTTTTGACCGAGATGTACCAGCCAAATCTAGGTGCTCAGCTGTCTCTTTTTCTGTCTCAGCTGTCCCAAAGATAGAATAAAGACCATGTGAATACAACTAAAATGTTTTAGCAACTTAAGAATTCCCCTTTGGGTCTATAAACCAGTGATTTGGGTCTATAAACCAGTGATTTGGGTCTATAAACCGGTGATAAACCAGAAAGTGCCGTGAAATATAAAACTGTAAGTATATGCCCCCTAAGCTTACTCTTCTGCATAAAGGGAATTGACTAAAACTGGCCTTGAGGTTAAGTGTGTGACAGAGCTCTATGTGGTGGAGCACATCTGTAAATCTATCACCTGGAGGCCGGCACAGGAGGGGTGATTCTGAGACAAACTGGGGCTACAAAGTGAGACTCTTTACTTCCTCTGACATCTGTTCCCCTCTCCTGCATGACTTGCTCCTACATTTGTGGCCTGGTTTTCTCTTCTCTGCTGTAGCCTCTAGCTTCTATCCTTCCCACAGTGCACCCCAAGACTCTGAGCAAGCTCGCCGGCTCTAAGCTCAGCCCTGAAAGATGGCTTTATTTTCATAGGCAGATGGCATCAGAGCTGCTGAGCCTCATTTCAGTCACGAGTCCCATACCTCAATCTGTGCAGAGTCCCAAGTCACTGTGCCAAGTGGGACATATTACACCTGCCCAGTTTCTCTGAACATCTCTCACATCTTATTTGAGAACAAATTAAAATTCTGTATCATTTCCTTCTCAACTCTCCCTCTCCTTTGCCATTTAGACCATACGGTTACAGAGGACTAGCAAGTCTTTTCAAAAGTTGAGTCTCCAGGCATGGTGGTGCACACTCATAATCCCAGCACTCAGAAGGCCAAGGCAACAAGATTTCAAGCTCAAGGCCAATCCAGGCTGTAGTTGAGATCCTAACTCAAGGGGGTTGGGGGGAAACCAGCACAGCCTATTATTATGTATCCGACACTGAGAGAACAGTGGCCAGGTATGTGTGAGATTTTCTTCAGATATAAAACCAGTCGTTTTTGACTTGGCATGGAAACAGCAGCATCCACACTTGCCACTGTGGACTTCCACATATGCATGATATAAGTTCTTTCAACTGTCCATTCCTGGAGAACAGCCACAACCAAAGACAAGGCTGGTGTTTCTCAAAGTGTGAAACTTTACATTTTATAAAGGAAAATAACACTTGCTCGAAAAAAAAATAATAATCAGGGGAAGAGACCCAGAAGGACTTGTTGCAGAAGTTGCAGAAGTTTTCTATGAAGCAGAGCTGTGATTACAGGTTATGATAAGCAGCACTGGGCTACAAGCATCAAGTACTGCCCTAGAAAGACACAGGAGTAGCTAGAGATAGTTGTCCAACTAGAAGAGTGTGGTTTATGCAGCCAGCCCTCACAGCAGACACTCCAGGCTCCAGAGAGAGTGACATCACTTCATGAGGACATGTGCACCAATGACTGGTTATCTACAGAAGATGACAGAGCCTCAGAGAAACCCGGGGGATCAATCCACTCTCAGTCCACAGCCACAGTGTGTATGGGTGCCCTGAAAATGTTTCTAGCCCAACTTTAAAAAGCACCATACTTTTTTTTTTTTTTAAGGCTTTCTCCATGCTATTCCCCATGGGGAGACAATGAACTTTTCTTAAAAGCACTCTGATGGAGAACCCTCAGATATACTATGTGAAGTTATCTCTGTCATCACTGAATATTCCCAATTTCAAAGTAATAAAATGTCCAGAATGTTCCCGTAAGAGCAGTAAGTCAGCTCTTGCCCAGCAACAGACACTTTTGGGGGAGGCCAGGAAAATGAACACATGAGGAAGGAGGACTGGTGGATGACGGCTCCGTCACGGTGAGGGGAGCTGGGATGTATGAACCCACCACATTCTAGCCCCTGCACCCTGCAGGCTGCTGGGCTGTTCCTCAGAACTGTTTACAAGGTGTCAACAGTACTGCTTAAAACAGCAAGTAGGCTCAGAAGCAAAGGCCGTGTAGAGTCTGTTTCAGCCAAAGATGAAGGAATATTCTAGAACAGACTACATTTTCTGATTGCAGCCAGCTTGCTTGGTAGAGATCACAGAGGCCAGGAGTGGGGGTTAGATGGTTTGGAATGCAGTACTGGTGAAGGCTGGCATGCAGGGTACAGTACCTAAGGTGGGTGCACTGGCACTTCGTTTACGGTCTTCAGGTATCCCAACAACGCACACAACACACGCAGCCCAATGGAGAGAACACAGGGGTGACAAAATGAAACAGATCAGACTCCTCTCTCCACAGCAAACGCCCACAGAAGGAACACATGCACTGCTCTGAGACTATACAAACTGCACAGGGTCATTCATGGGGCTCATTCATCCCATAGCACAGAGGGGAGACTGACTGAAGCAAGTCTCAGAACATCACAGGGTTAGGTCGTTTTCAAGTTGCTGTTTGTATCACTGGACAGAGAGCTGACTTATCTTCACACTGAAAATGAAGTTCACTGAAGCATCTTTGCTAACTTCCCCCCTAAGGCGTTCATTCACCTTCATTTCTGAGAAGGAGAAACGTATTCACAGAGGAACATGAGACGGGCAGGATCAGGCTTGCCTCCTTCTGAAGGGTCGGGGGGCCTAGGTACCCTCACCACATACCGAGGTTTGGTGCGCTTGCTGTCCTCTTGCCGCTTTTGATTTTAAAAAAGCCCCGGCCAAAGGAGGACCTGGCTTTTCGAGTGCCAAAGGGGTTGTCATCCACAGAGGCTTCATGTCCTGGGACCTTGGGAGGCAGGGTCCCAAATGTGCGGCTGTCAGTTGGAGCTTTATCCTGAGGGGTGACAAGGAGGTAACTGAGAGTTAGGGTACACTGTCCTTAGGACAGGCTGGGCTCAAATCACTGGACCAGCAACTGAAGAAATACACTGAGCCCAACACCAATGTAAAAAGCGTAAGAAATAACATCACAGTGACCACTGGCACCTCCATCAGCACCACAGTGACCACACCTGCCACTTTAAATCTCTAACACAGATTTAAGGTCTAGTACATTTTTTTAATCTGCCTCAATTTTTTTAAAGGCATGTCGTAAGATACTCCATACCCAGGATGGCAGATTTCTTATTTTTCTAGCAATTACGATGCAGATCTATAAAAAAAAAAAGTTTACACCCTTAAATCCCCACTACAGCAATAGAAGCCTGAGGCAAGTCTGCAAAGCAGGCAGTGAGCAAGCTTCAAGACTAATGAGGAAATCCTCACAGTTATACACATTCTTCTCAAGGATTAAGAAGATGAAGGTACAATCGGGAACTGTTTGTCTTTCTGACTTTGAGTCAGCCATTCCACTTATAAAATTGTTTCATTATTTAAGAGATACTTCTGGCTGTGTTTCTTTCTAACACCTGCTTTCTGCTCTTTCTTTACATAGTTGGTGAAAAGGTCAAAGGGATGAATGACTGACTCTCCCTCATCTGCTGCCCACAGGAACTGAACGTCTACACACACACAACACAGTATCTACATCTTAACATGGACACGCCCTTGCTCCATTTGTTGATGTTGAGTGGAAGGGCCCTGAGAGACAGTTGTCTCACCAACAGTCAAGTCTAAAACTGGCCTTCTACCCCACTGCAGTCCTGATACAGATCATTCGTGATCAGAATCCAGGGGAAGACCAAGAGCACATGCTGACAATCTGTTCAGAACACCATACTCCTACAGACACGGGCTGGATGAAACAAACAGCAGGCAATCTAAGGGCTTTTGTAGGGCTTGGTGAAAGCAGCTACAGTAAAGAAGATTTCCAAATTACATGAGTCTAACATCACAGGTTGGTTTTCTAATAACAGGTGGACTACTAAAAAAAATATTCAATTATTTAGTTATGTGTACGTGTGCTTATGTGCATGTGTGCAGGTACATGTGCCACAACATGTGTGTTTAAAGGTTAGTGGACGACTTGTGGGAGCTATTCTCCTCTTCTACCATGAATGCCCTGGGGATAGCACCTAGGCCATCAGGCTTGATGGCAAATGCCTTCATCCTCTGAGCCATCTCAACTGCTCCAAATTAACTTCCCTCCCCCTTTTTTAAAACAAAACAAAACCAAGATATTCATTTTATTTTTGGCTGTGGACTGCACATCACACATGAAGGCTGCCTAGGAAGGAGACATGATATGAGGAAGAGATAAGCAGGTAAGGGCTGAGCAGAAAAGTCTGTGACAAGCCCTTCCCTGTCTACCTGGTCCTGACACTCTGGTGGGAGTATCTAGGACCTAGTTCTGAGACCATAGCATAGTGGTCTGTGCTTGTTCCATATGTGGGCTTTGCATGCACAAAAGATGTACATACATTATGTATGGACATCAGGTGTGTATGCTCATGTGTGAATGTGGAGGCAAGAGGTTGGGTATTTCCTCTCTCTTTGCTGTACTTTTGAGGCAGAGTCTCTCACTGAACCTGGAGCTCACTGAGTGACTGGCTGGCCAATCCCAGGGATCCTTCTGTCCTCTCAGCACTGTGAGGGCAGGCATGTGCTGCCATGCTCAACTTTTTATGTAGCTGCTGTGAGTTTGAACTCTGGTTCTCATGCTTTCAGAGTAAGCATTTTATCACAGAGCCATCTCCCCAGCCCCAAAGAACAATTAAGTTTTATGTATGTTTCGTCTTCAACCAGTTCTGCTGCCCACATTTTTCTTTAGTTTTACCACCTACTGATGTCACTAAATAACACATTTATAGTTTGACAGGTTTTGGTAGTTCATGGTCACATTTCTGTTCTCTGAATGGTTTTTGAAATTCATCTGGAGGATGTGTAAGTCTACTTCTTTTCAAAGCTGCATACTATTCCTTTACGGCAGAGATCAGCAAACCAGGAATGTTTCTGATTTTTGAATCATAAAGTCTCCATAACAGTTACTCAGTGCTGCCACTGTTGTATGAAAATTGCTTTAGGCAACATGTAAATGAATGGTCATAACTTTGTATAAATGGGCAGCTGGTCTTCAGACCACAGGCTGCTAGCCTGAGTCTTTGGGACTAATAATCCATGTTATTTTTAGATCCCTGTTTTCATCACTGATGATCGGGGAAAGAAAGGGCATTTAAAGAATCCAGGGAACCAAATACACACACACCACATAAACACACCACACACACACACACACACACACCACACACACACACACCAGCCTGGGTAAGACAGACTAACTATTGTCCTGATACTAGTCTATAGTTCCAAGCAGACTCTCAAGCAGGTATGTCAGGATCATCTTCCTATGACTTCCAGCTTCCACAAAGGTTCTATGGCCTCTACTGTTACCCTGGCATCCAGGCACTGAGCAGCAGGTATGAAATGACAGGATGTACTCCACTTTGCTTCTCTAGACTAGTAGAGCCCTCTGGTAGGCAGCCACATATATGCTAAGTAGACAGGGGTGTGTGTGTGTGTGTGTGTGTGTGTAAAGGGTGTTGGGTCCCTTGGAGCTGGAGTTCCATGTGTTTGTGAGCTAGGTGCTGAGTTTAGATCTCAAAGTTAACTTTTATTTAGATAGAGTACTACTATGTAGACCAGGCTAGTTTCAAATTCACAGAGATCTGCTTGGCTCTGCCTCCCAAGTGCTGGGATTAAAAGTATGTGCCTAGCTCAAAAATCAGCTTAAAAAATTTATGTATGTATTTTACATATATGGATGTTTCATCTGCATGTCTGCATACCAGAAAAGAATATTGATTCCCACAGGACTACAGTTATAGGTTATACACTGCCATGAGGGTACCGGGGATTGAACTTAGGACCTCTAAAGAAGCAGCCGGTGCCCTTAACCACTGAGTCATCCTCCAGCTCTTAAAATTAACTTTTTAAAATAAGTAAGTCAGTGGCATTGAACACTTCTCTAAATCCTAACAACGCATCAGTTCCAAAGTACTGCCTCCACCCTAAAGCCAAGCCCCCGACTTATCCTTCTTCTGCCCGTGGCCCCGACCCTGCACACACAGCCATGCTGCACACATCACTGAACACAACCATGTGCATATGACCTTCCTAGCTGGCTTTCTTCACCAGCATAGTGCGGTAGGGGCTCTGACAGCCTTGGTCTCCTGCAGTGGGGACAGTCACCCAACTTACATGTCATAAAATTTAGAAGATTTTATACTTCAATTCAGATATAAAAATTACCTCTGAAGGCTTCTGGATAGACTCCTGCTCCTGTTCAAAAACAATGACATTTAAGGAAGGCTGCTATAAATTTTTTATATATTCAGTCGTCACATACACTTTGATAGATAAGAAGCCGTTTCTATCACTTCTAAACCATGGAATGTTCTTGCATTATTTCCTACAGTGTCTTATTAGTCCCAACCTTTCTTTCACATCATTTTCAGTCTTTTGTATTCATTCTTAGTATCTGCCATTAATTGCACCATGGTAGCTAGAGATTTCCCATCACAGAAACCATAAGCTTTTCCTAAAATGAATTTTTCCTGTGTATAAAATGGGACAAAATGAAGATTCATCCTTCAGTATTTTCTTCTAAGAACAAGGGAAAGGAAGAAAAAAAAGTAGAAGGACAGACAAAAACAGAACCAGCCACAGAACCTACCACGCCATCTGACGTCTCCTTCTTCAGATTTCCAAGGCTGCTGGATTTCTGCAGAGTTGAAATTCTAAAAACAGAAATAATGATAATTAGAATCAATAGTAAGTTGACTCTGGTGCCTGTATCTAAGCGGATCCTCTTAGAAGGAAACTAAAAATTGCCTGGAGGTTGAATCTTGGTAATAAAAGAAAATCTGGATCCAGGCAAACACTTATGTGCTTAAGTAAATTGCAGCATTTAGTTCTTTAAAAGCAGGGTGGTTAACTGCCGTGCCAGTAACACAAACTGTCCCACACATGTCACAGTAGCTGGAAAAACACTTAAGGCTGCGCTGGCAATATCAGTGTTTTCCATGGACTGGTGGCACTTACACAGTTACAGTAGAAACTCCATAGAAGTCTGTGCACTGCTCAGACCTAACCCTTCTACTTAAAGAATGAAAATTTACTCTTCTTTCAAGAGAGGTAACTTTCTTGACCCTGGCAAGGTAATTCAGTCAATAGTTCTGATCAAACCATAATAAGCCAGGTTTTGTGGGCACACCTGTAATTTCAGTACACAAGTGGCAGAAGGATTGAGGGATGTTTGACATCAGCCTGAGCTATCAAGATACAGCCTGTCTCCAAAAATGAAAAAGAAAGGAGGAGGGAAGGACAAAAATAAAGAGGAAAGAAGAGAGGGAGGGAGAGGGAGGAGGTAGAGGGAGAAGAAGAAGGGAGGGACAGAGGGAGGAAGGGACAAAGGGAAGGAGGGATGAGGGAGAAGAGGAGAGGGAAGGAGAGGGAAGGAGAGGGAGGGGAAAATGCACTAGAGGAACCCCTGTTATTACTCACTCATTTGCTAGCCTAGGAAGGCAAGAGGAGCCTGTAAGTCACAGAAACTTTCTCTTTCACATAATTAGTGTTCAGTTATACACAGCTGGAGATGGTCTGGCTCAAAAACTAAATGCACAAACACGTGGCCAGTTTCAAAAACTGAGGCACTGGGGGTGTACCTCAGTGCTAGCATGCTCGGCATGTGAGTTGCCTGAGGCCTGATCCCCAGCAACGCAGGATAAAAAAGGAAGGCAGAGAAAGAGACTATAGAAGGAATGTCTACTCCAAAAAAGCTAGAGCAACAAACCTTTAAGGGCATTTCTCCCCCTTATGTAAGTTGTCTGTCATAAGGACTGCCAAAACCATAAAAGATAACAGAGAAACAGAAACATCTCATCTGAGCTCTGCTCTGAAAATAGGTTTTCCTGGTTGTTTGGGGCTTTCCTAATCTAATCCAGACTCTGACTTGGGTAAACATTCACATTAGGCCGGTTTATTAAAACTGTAAGTGCAGAGAGCAGCCCTGCCAGCTTCGAGTTCTCTGGGATTCTTTTCTGTTGGAATAAAACATAACAAATCAGCACAAAAATAAATTAAAAGTGTTGAACTCCCAATTGAGAACTGGTGACAGAGGCTAAAGATCTGCAAGTGTCAGGTGTGAGATGGCAGGGACGAGTGCTTCTGTGACATCAGCCTCCAGCCCTGTGTACTCGTGACTTAACAGCCTCGGCTGCTCACTGTGCAATGGTTATGTGACCATAACAAACCCCCAGTCTGTAAAGCCCCGATCATACTTCACGCCCAAGGATGTACAACTTACGAAACACCATCACACAGGGAGACTTCAGCGGCAGTGCCCAGGACTGCTCTTCCATCACTAAAATATATTTTTAAAAAGGCATTTGTTAATGTCATGAATTGAAAACCACACAGACACTCCTGGATTTGCAATGGTGACGTCCCAAAGAGCTCGTAGGAAGCTCGAATCATTGTTAAGTCAAAGTGTCTTTTGCTTAATCTACCAAAACCTGCTTACTCTGTCTTTCCTTGTTCATATTTTCAGCACCCCACTAACCTACAACTGGGCAAAAATTCTCTCCCACAGAGTCTACTTTAGAAGGTGTGCTGACTACCTCGACCTGTCAAAAACAGTGCAGAAGTGAAACACAGCAATATTGTAAAGTTAAAAAAAAAAAATCACAAGGCAAGTTCATCATAGCTGGGGCCTGTCTGTACATGTTCTAAGTGAATAGAAATGTTAAAAATAATAATAATAATGCAAAGAAAAAAGCTATTTCTAATTTAAACATTTTCTTAAGCCTATTTCAAGGTTAGGAGGCAATTCATTTGAGAATTTTCTGGCAAAGTATCGATTTGCCTATGGAGAGATAACTGTGTCCCTGATGGCTTCCTAGTCATTCTCCAGATGGTCTCAGTGACTACTCTGCTTTCTGACAGGCACCTATGGCCTAGAAAGTAAAGCACAAACCCTTAAAGGCCGCTCTAGCCTCATTCCCTCACTTCCCAGGCTCCCCTGTCACCCCGTTATTTCATTATTACAAAACAGACGATGAACACTGTGTATGTAAGTAAGCGTGCTTTGCCCTTATTTGTGCATCTATATCACAGTGTTGATCCACAAATGACTTACCCCTCTTCAAATGAAGTCTCGGGCTTAGTAGACGACTTGGGTTTTTCACAAGTTTCTATATCCATAGTCGGTGGCAAAAGTGAAGGGATTGAAGCTTGCAAGACGGTGGTGTGAAACTGTAAAAAATCGTAAGTGAAAAGAAAATCAATCAAAACACAAGCCACGGAGTAACAAAACATAACAGAATTGGTCTATACAAAATACATCAGTGCTTAGAACTTTAGCTTTGTATTTATAATTTCAGAATACAAACATCTCGATGAGGTGTTAATGAGAGGAAACACTGTGGAGAAAGGGAATTACATTTGGTTCTAAGACAGCAAATACCCTGAATAAGAAAGTAACTAAACAGAAAAAAGTACCATGTTCCAATCATGGGGAAGCTCACGGAGTGCCAGCACCAAGGCTCTGACTCCTTAGTGCCAACACATGTTGTAAACAAAGTACCATTTCCATTTTTATTTCTACTACAAGTCTAACGCATAACATACATCATGTCGGTTAAACGTTCTTTTACGTGTGAACAAGCTGACTGCGTTCAACTTGCCTAACTGGTGAACAGTGCGCTAAAATCAGTGGGACCAGACTCTGTGGAAAGAATGAACTGTGGATACCGTTTCCTCAGATACCATTGGCGCCTAGGGCTGGAGCCTGTAAGTTTGTTAGCACTGGGGTTTTCTGGTAATGTTTGAGAACTGGAGGGAAGAGTTAAGATCAGCATCTAGAACTCACAAAGGAAAACACCTGCCTGAGCTCCCAGTCAGTCAGTCAGTCAGTCAGTCAGTCAGGGGGCTCGTTGTCTAATTCTCTGTGGTGCTGACCTCTGACCTACACATACCCAGCGTCTCACCGCTGAGCTATGTTCCAGCCACAGCTCTCACTTTCTTCCCCTTCTCTAATTTTTATTCATAATTTTTAAATTAAAATTTAATCATATTTCCCTTCACTTTCCTGCCCCCATGTATCTTCCTTTGCACATTGCGCTCTCTCTCTCTCTCTCTCTCTCTCTCTCTCTCTCTCTCTCCTTCACTCCCAAATTCATGACCTCTTTTTTAACTCTCTTTCTGATCAGGGTCTCCTGTGTAGTCCAGGCTGGCCATGAGTTCAGCCTCCTATGAGATTACAGATGTGCACCCAGCACTCCTGCGCTGGCCTGGCAGCTTACTCCTCCCTGGTGAGCCAGGTAAAGACAGGTCGTGAACGCAAACCTACACCAAACCTACAGCAACAGTTCACCTCAGCCACATCCTCCACCAACATGTCACCATGCTCATGATATTTCTCCCACCCCTCTTCTACCACCCACTCACCCATGTACCTTCCTGTGCTCACCACTCCCTCTCAAATCCATGACCTCTTTTTCTAATTCTGACACAGTCAGAGCTGCCTCTGGGCTGCTGGAATACCAGACACAGGGGAGGTAAGATGAACTTAGGTGTGCTCGACCAGCAAAGCTCAGCTTCAGGAAGAAGCGATGAACTCTGAGCTGTGAATTTTGCCTGTTACTGAGGATGGTACCACAAAAGCTTGAGTCAGATCAGTGTAAGTTAGGGGTCTTTTCTATGCACCCTAGTTTGCTTTTGGTTTGAATCTTTGCAATTGATGCTGGGTACTCTCTTTTCCACTCACCCATGTTTCTTGAAGTTCAACTGTTTCCCTAGACTCCTAATCATGGGAAAAATATACTAACACATGGGCCTGTTTTTTTTTTTTTTTTCCGAACTTTAATGTTTCAGTTTAATTTTTCTTCCTGGTTTTCTTCAAAGCTAAGGTTGAATTCTACCAATTTTTATTTTTTTTCTACACTGTATTCAGCTTGGAACAATCATTTATGACAGACTAGACACCGTTAAGCTGGAATTCACAAAGGCTGCAGAGATAGCTCAACAGTTAAGCGCACTGGTTGTTCTTCCTAAGGATGGGCTTTCAATTTCCAGCATGGCAGACACAGTGTCTGTTAACTCCAGTTCCAGGGGATCTGGGGTTTCAGTTTCCAGCATGGCAGACACAGTGTCTGCTAACTCCAGTTCCAGGGGATCTGGTGCCCTCTTCTGACGTCTTTGGGAACTGCATGCAGCAGTGCACACACACACACACACACACACACACACACACATATATATACATTCAGAAAAAATATTCATACACACAAAATAAATAAAAACAAACTTTTAAACTGAGGTTCATGTAGCAAAGACTGCAAAAACAATTCAGTATATTCTATATATACAAGCAATTCCTCTCTAAATCCAGCACACTTGTTGGCTGTCAAAGGTTATTTTTGGAAGGCTGAGGCAGGAGGATCACTAGCTCTAGGCTAGCCTGGACAACAAAGCGAGCCTCTGTCTCAAAATAAAACAAAGTTAGGTTCTCCCCCTTCAATAAACGTATTTAACAAGCATAAAACTTCCCCTGCATCTTATTTCATAATATCTTGATTGGTGAACTATTTTAGTACTGTCTAACATAGAAGTGGGAAATGTTGTTTGCTCTTTGAATTAATTTTCATTCCACTCAGTTTTTACTTGCTCGGGACCAGAGGTGTAGCTCAATGTTGAGTACTCGTGCCCAGGACTATAAAGGGGAAACAAATTAAAAGTACTAGAAAACAAGACTGTTCACCAAACAGTACTGTTTCATTATGGGGTTATCAACCCCAGCTATGAGAGCAGGAAAGCGAGAGAGGAGATATGGCAAGAGGAAGCAACTGTTGACCACAGTGAGACTGTTTGTTGCGCTGAACAAGACATTCCCAGTTCCTAGTGGCTCCAGACAGCAATTATACTAAGGTTAAGAAGTGACTTCAAAACAAAGACCAATCAGCCCTGGGGGAATCCTGGGCTCCTGAGGCAGTGGGTGGCTGCCTTGATCAGACTACACATAAGCAGCAGTCCAGCGGCCATGCAGGGAGCCTGGCCCCAAGACACTGCGAGGAAAGTGTGGACAAGTCTCACCTAATGCAGTGGAATGGAGGATTTTTAGGTTCTGACAATGCACCAAATCAGGCTCTAATGCATAGGCTCAGCAGGAATTAAAAGGGTGCTTTGGACCTTAGTGCCTTGCCAAGCTGAGACAACACTCGTCTGAAAATACTTAGAGGGGAAAAGAAAGCGGACCTGGAGTGAAGAGTGGTGAGCCTAAAAGGTGGTCTCTCATACAGAAGTGACAACATCTGTCTAGTGGGCTGGACTGTTCTGGACCAAGGATAGTCGTGTGCCTTTGTTCCTCCCTTTTTTAAAGTAGGAGTGTCAACAGAAGTTACCCTGTTCCTGCCTCCTGACCAGTGCTGGGCATGTGGGTGCAGACAATTGCTTTGTTCCCAGCTGCACATACTGTTTGGAATAATACTCTAGGAACTACTGAGGGGCCTCCCTACGCACCAACCTGAATGGATGAAAGCTCCTGGGACAGACACTTGGAGACCTTAGGAGAAGGGAAGGCTGCATTTTATATGTGAGAAGGTGCAAACTGACTCACTTGGGAGGCGAAATGGTGACTGTTTTCCAAAACTGTGGCACCACATCTCCTTCCACGTGCTCTTACACTGTGACGTCACTGAGACATTAGAGACAGTCTACTCATTGTGAGTCTGCTTGACCTGGAACTGCAGCAGAGATTCCAATGATGCCGAGTTACAGGGGATGCAGACCCACCTGCTCTTCTCAGGGTGTTCTCACCACAGGGCTGTGAGGCAGCCAAGCGGTCCTAGGGACTCCCAGCCTGGGTACAGTGGAACAGTGTACAGGCATCAAGTTGCCTCAACAACCAGATACTGCAGTGAGAAGCCTGCTGCTCCTGAGCTGAGCAACAGAGGTGAGGTGTTCCTGCTGAACACTGCCCACTCTCCAGGCTCCTCAGGAAGGTGACAATCCAGCCATTTTGGTGCTGGATAGTAGGTAATGAACAGATGGTCCTGATGCCTTCACGAATGGAAATAAACTCCAATGCCCTCAGATTGCTTTTTCCAAGTCTAAAAACTTGGAGTCATCAGAAACAACAAAACAAGATTTAATCTTACCCTCACCTGACTTATTTGTACTCGTCTTTGAAAAAAATAAACTATAATTTCATATTTTTGGGTATCTACCTCAAAGATGCTCATGGTTGTTTTTTTTTAAGAATGGGGTTCTTTTAGGCTGCTCTCAAATTTCCAACCAAGGAATGAATATTCTGCATCTTCAGCAGCTGAAATTATAGGCACAAGTCAACCTACCTGTCTTGTTTTTGTTGAGTTTTATAAGCAAATTTAACATTGTCCAAAGCATTTATTAAAAAGAGGGAATGCACATATTTCAAAACAAAAAGAGACTGACAGTACACAAAAGCTACCAGAATAGACCAGTGGGTAATGCAGCTGGGAAACGAACCCACATCACACGGCACTGGCAATGTATACACCAGCAAAGACACCGTCCCTACAACATAAAGTGCCAGAATCCCACACGTACCTCCTCTGGAGCACTTGTGTGGAGCGGGTCCCTGCTGGGAGACCCCATGCCCGGTGTAGAAGAAGTGCTTCTCTCCAGATCACTGAAGCCCTGGGCATCCAGCAGGGTGGAGATGGAGCTGGAGTGGAACAGACCTTCACACTCACCATCTTGGCCTGGAAGAGATGAAGCAGATGACCATGCAGTCCACTTTTGGAAGGAGAATGGGAATGATGCATTTCTTTCTTTCTTTTTCTTGAACATATACTGTACCACTGAGCTACAGTGCCGGTCAATGCCGGGAGCGACCCCCAGCTTGGTGGGAGGAGGTGATCTTCTTTTTTCTCCTCCGGTCGGTTCTTCTTGAAGCAATCAAGGGGGATGGGAAGAGCCTCGACAGTGGGTAAGACCTAGGGTTAGCTGGCCTGCCCTCTGATATACTCTGTCCAGAAACTGCAGTTTCTTGCCACTAACCCCTCCGCCCAGGGACAGCAGAGAATTAGGAAGTGCCTTTGATCTGTCTCTGCAGGCGCTGCCAGGCTCTAACTTAGGTCTGTTGGCTTGAGGTTGCAAGAAGAAAAGACACTTAAAGAAGTTATTGTAGTTTATTGCTAAGTGTAAAAAGTTTCCTATCTAAGGGGGAAAATGGGAAGGTCCTAAGTGGAAAAAGGAAAAAATTCTAACAAAGGAAAAATTCTAAGTAGAGAGATTCTAAGCAGGGAAGAAGGGAGAAGAGGAGAGAGAGAAAGAGAGAGAGAGAGAGAGAGAGAGAGAGAGAGAGAGAGAGAGAGAGAGAGAGAGGTGAAGTGACGAAGAGAAAATGAGGAGAAGAGAAGTCACCGCTAACGAACGTCCCTTTTTCTTATACATCATTCAGAGTACCTGATCACATGTTACAAAGTTCATCACAAGTTCACACCAAAATTCAAATCATAAATTGAACTAGAAGTTTACAATCGAGAATGTTTACATGCATATCCATTAGGAGTAATTATCTGACTATACATCCATCACCTGTCTAGCTCCACAGGTTCACCGAAGGTTTAAAACTATAACTAAGAAATTAGTGAAGTTTTGTATAGATAAACCCAGGCAATATTTTTTCTTCTGTCCTAGCACCTATAATAAATTGTGAGTTCCCTTTTAGTGACTCTTGGTTAATTATTTTACAACCACCTTGGAATGTGCTCTGAGTAGGAGAGAGTCTGGTTACTATCTAAGTGCTGTTAACTGATGACACTTGGGAGACTGGCAGAGTTCTCACAGCAGTTTTGACTATCAGGAAGGGACTTAATAGCAGTCCCACTATAAAAGAGCTTAATAATCATTGATATAATTTTAGGAATTCTTATAGGATCACCATTAAGACTTAAGAAGTCGTCTATTTGTCTATATAGCAATACTACAAGACAGTACATCTTCGTGGATCTGCAGAGATCTGCTCCAAAGGGGTGTGCTATTGCTTAGTGATTGTTATATATGTTTAATAATAATAGGAAAAGCATATTAATAGCAGGATCTTTCCTAAAATATGTCCAACATAGCCTTGCTAAATGTGGCACACTTGTCGCAGATAATAATCCGAGGCAAGCATTTCAGGATGATCAACTGCTAATTATTAGCTTGTCCTATTATGGCTTCTGACAGGTCAAAGTATAAACAAACACATGAACTGTTTCTTCCTGTCATCATACGTAAATTAACAACACAGAACCTAGGATATAGCATCTTAAATTGCAAACAACTAACCTCCAGGATTCGGGCCACATTAAGCACTCACCAGTGGTATTAACGGGGAGAGTCAGGTTTCAAACAGTACTAACACAAAAGATGTTTAAAACATAAATAAATTTATTTCAAGATCCCACTGTAATTTTGTTTTAAAATTTTTAGGCTTCATAAGTATTAGTTTAGCCCTGTTTAGTAATGTGTTACTTTAATCCTAGCACTCAGAAAGTGAGAGCAGAGAATCAGGAGTTCAAGATCATCCTCAGCTACATAGCAAGTTCAAAGCCAGCCTGGGCCACATGAGACCCTATCCCATGAAAGTTGTCTGTCTGTCTATGTGTCTGTCTGTCTATCACCTAACCTACCATCATCTATCTACCTACTTACCTATATACACTACTTATCTACCTACCTACCTACCTACCTACTCTAGGTATCTACCCATCTATGTACCCGTCTATCCCAGTGTGACTATCTAACTCTGGGTAACAACAGAGTCACCATTTAGACATGGTACTTCTTATCACTGCTGTGCTTTGGAAAACACACAAAATGAAAAACAGGATTTAAAAAAAAATGACAGGTGATCCTTCAAAACAATCCTTTGATGCCATTTTAAAGCAGGAAAGGCTTAACAGAAAAAAAGAAACCAAATATCCCAAAGGACTAAGTTTGAAAAAGTTTTAACATCAGTCAAGATGTAAAGGGTTAACTGTAGCACACAATGCTAGTCGGTCATTTTCTTAGAAATGGAAAGAATGGTTCTTAAAAACTCTAATCTCCAAATAACGCCTACTGGCAAACCATAGACCCACAGATGCAAGAAGGTGTTGGATCCATTGGAACTGGAGTTACAGGTGGTTGTAGGCTGCCCGACTGGGTGCTGAGAGCCAGACTCCAGCCCTCTGTTAGAGCAGCAAATGCTCTTAACCACTAAGCCATCTCTCCAGCACCTAACAGTAACTTTTAAATTGAGATTTTACTAGAATTTTATCCTAACTTTACAGGATTTTAAGTGTTGCTAAGAGTTTTATGAAGAATAAGTAAATAAATCTAAGTATCATAAGTGATACGGAGAAATCACTTTTTATATAACCTCTTCACTATAGCAGGGTGTGATGCTTATGACTTATGAAAACCTGTCCTATTAGATCTGATTTCAAACTACTACATGGGGGTTGGAGAGGTTCAGCCAGTCAAGTGCTGCCATGTAAGCACAGGGCCTGCATAAAAGCTGGGCCTGGGCTGAGAGGTGACCCAGAGACTAAGAGCACACACTGATCATGAAGAAGGCCTGGATTTGGTTTCTGGCCCCTAAACTAGGCAGCTTACAACTCCAGAGATCTGACACGCCCTTCTGGCCTCCTTGGGCCCTTGCACAAATGTGGCATACGTACAGCCATACACATACACACAAATAAAACAAATCTTTAAGAGCCAGGCATGGTGATTAGGCAAGCCAATCTAGACAGTCAGTGAACTCCAGCATCAGTGAGACACCCTGCCTTCTGGAAGGGCTAGTGATATGGCTCACAAGTTATCCTTGGTCTCCCTCATGGAACTAATTTTATTAGTCCTTATGAATAAAAAAAGAGAATTATTTATTATTTTGTTTACTTGTTTGTTTTGAAGCTCCTGGCCCAAAGCAGAGGGTGTTTTTTGTTTTTGTTTTTTTGATTCATGAAGTCTTCAGAATTAAAATTTTTGAGAGCATAGCTCAGTAGCAGAGCCTTCACTAGTATGCATGAGGCAGATCCCAAGAAATAAAAAATTAATTAGTTCATTTAAAACAAAAATTTCAAATTCCTGAGTATTTCATAATTATCTCTTTGCTGGCTAGTGTTTATGTCAACTTGATGGTGGCTAGAATCATTTGGGAAGAGAAAATATCAGCTGAGAAAATGCCTTCACTAGATTAGGCTACCGGCAAGCTTGTGGGGCATTTTCTCCATTAGTGCTTGATGTGGGACAGCCCAGACCATTGTGTGTGGTGTCAACCCTGGGCTGCTAGTCCGGTGGGTGCTATAAGAAAAAAGGCTGAGCAAGCCACGGAGAGCCACCAGTAAGCAGTACCCCTCCATGTCCCCTGCATCAGCTCTTACCTCTAGGTTCCTGCCCTGTTGAGCTCCAGCCCTGACTTTCCTTTGTAATGAACTGTGATATGGAATTTAAGTCGAAATAAAGGCTTTCCTTCCCAAGCTGCTTTCAGTCATGGTGTTCCATCACAGCAAAGAAACGCTAACTAAAATATCTCTCAAAAAGACATGTTTTTGGTGCTTAACATCTCTAGAGTGATGACTACCTGCATGTTCATAGTCAACTAGGTCTAACATTCTGTATGTCCTAAATGACTCTCAGTCTGTGTTTGAGAAAGGTCATCTGCAGGGAAGGCAGAACAACTCCATGTGTTCCAAGAGGAACTCACACTCCTTGGCCACCATCACCTACCTGGTGCTTTAGCCCCGAGTGTCTCCCTTTGTTGATTTGTTTTCCTTTGCTCCAAGCCCCTCATCTAATTGAGCATATCACAGCCTTAATCTATCGGGTCGATCCAGATCCACTGGGACTCTGCAGCAGCAATATATTCAAGAGTCCTGACTTGCTCCCCCGCCTGCTCTAGATATTGGTGTCCCTCATTACTCCCCCTGGCAGAAGTTACGCTGCAAACTTGTTATTCAGCCCTTTAGCCCGGCTGAGGGCGTAGCTCAGTGGTAGGACATTTGCCTAGTATGTGCAAGGCCCTAGGTTCAATCCCTAGAACAGTGGTTCTCAACCCAGTGTCTGCAACCCTTTCATAAGGGTGGCATATGAGATGGCCTGAATATCAGAGGTTTACATTACAATTCCTAACAGTAGCAAAATTAGTTGAGAAGTGGGTCATCACAGCATGAGGAACTGCACTAAAGGGTGGCAGCAAGAGGAGGCTTGAGAACCACTACCCTAGGACCAACAGAACAAAGCAAAGCCTCACTGGATTCCCGGCCTTGGTTTACAAGCAGATGCCCAGCCCAGCCCTACTGAGATTCCTTACAAGGCATCAAGCCACACCCTCCCTACCCCTCAGAACTTTCCAGACACACTGCCCTTCCTTCTAAAAACACTCCAGGCTCTTGATGCACACTGTAGCTCCTGCTCTAGAATGCTTTTCTGGGAGCTGCTCTGGCTGAGGCATAGAGCTACAACACACCCATCAGCTGAGTACATCCTGACAGGACAGTTGCCCGGAACTACCATCAATAAACAAATGAGCCACGCAAACTGGAATAACGCACATGAACTCTGTAAGACATTGAGTCTAAATGTGAAAGTTCATGGCTGGTTGAAACGCACTGAAGGAGGAAGGCTTTTGGAGAGCGCTCTACATACATTATTACCTTGGGCCAGAACTGCTGGGTCCTGCATTTTCCTGTACCTGCTCAGGCACTGCCGGAGGTCTTCTATTTTCCGCTCCTGTGAATTGAGTAAACCGTCATCACTACTGACTTTTAAAAACAGTCAAGGGAAGCACCTGTGAACTGTGTACAGTATCCGAAAATATTTCTAAACTTCAGCAAAAGTGACAATGGCTGTATTTTTTCCTGTGTGTATCAGAGACAGAGCCAGCACTTGGGATGCTACATATTCTTTTTACTTGTCATCTTTAAAAACAAAACTGATATAACAGCATTTAACAAAAAAGAAAAAAATATCAAGGCCAGTGAGATAGCTTAGTGGCGAGAGAGCAGGCGTCAGGCTTGATGACGTGTGTTTGAAGCCAGTGGGTAAAATTCTAGAGTTCAGATCCCCGGCACCCTCCACACAGAAGCCAGGGGTTGCAACTGTAACCTAGAACTTGGGGAGTGGATAGAGAAGGTTGTGATGAGGAAGAAAACTATCTCTTGGCTTTCTGCAGTTTTATACTCCTTGGAATTAGTCTTTTCTGGGATGTGTCCCTTTGTTCTGTTCCCTAAGGGACATAGGAGAAAGCAGTCTGACATTATAAGCCAAACCCAGTGGTTATTAGGCAGCCAGGATCAGGTCAGGTCGGTGGTGAGAATGACACTGCCCCATGCTTCTAGCAGGATGAAAGCCAAATATGGGTGAGGAAAACTGACCATGGCAAAGAGCCCTAGTGACACAGGCATTAGGCCAATGCACTAAAGACAAAGGCAGGGACCAAGAATGATCCAGGGGCCTGGCCTGTGTCTGTCTGTTGTCTGTTATTTCACCTTTCAGGAAAGGCAAGACATTTCCAGATGTAAAAGAAGTGAGGAATATAAAGAAAGTAACTATGACTTCATAGCAGTGCTGACGTCTTCTCTCTGTGGCTGTGTGCACCTCTATCAAGTTGGAGCTCTGCCCTTCAGAGGTCATGTTAGCCTAGAATTTCTAGAATGTAGTACCTCTCTTCTCACCTGAATATAAGGAAGTCCAATGGTCTAAATATTTCCTAAATTCAGAAGGGGAAAGAGGGCATGGGAATTTCACTGGAACCTGTGTTGCTGGCCTCTCTACTGTGTGCACACAGCCACAGACACAGTGTCATCACTGAGCCTGTGCACACTCAGGCGGAAGAGACCAGGAAGGACCCTTCATGTCCTCTCCCAGCTGAGGTACACCAAGGTCTGCATGGAACAGCCAGGATGCTGCAGAGCATAAACAAAGCGCAATATCTGAGTCTCACTTGGTACCTTTTCTTCATTTGCTGCCATCAGGGACTCCACTGCCTTCTTCATTTTCTGTACTTCAATGTCTGAAAGGATATGACATTGTTAGGACACAGAGACATTGTTGGAAGGCAGCTAACCTATGTGGGAAGACACTTGTTCTTCTGCCTGAAGAGTTCCCAGGTACAGGTGGCAGTGATTCTCCTTTAGGGACAATACGGATGAACACTGTCTACCCCACCCACACAGTTGTGATAACAGAAAGCTAACAGTATGGGGAGGGAGGGAGATGCCCTCTCTTAGAGAACTCTTTCTTTAAACACTGAAGATGAAATGTAGGTGCAGCCAAAATGGCAGCACTGAGTTTTCAAAAAAAGGAAGCCGTGAGCAGTGAGTGAGAGCAATGGATGGACGGACGGACGGATGGTATTCACAATGACCAAGGCAGAGGGACAGTGCTGTCATAACCAAGTGGAGAGGCCATGGTGAGAGGCTGAGCAGTGTGGTGCTCACATGAGCTGTCATGCTGAGAAGCCAGCTGTAGAGCCACAGAAGGAAGAGTACCTTGCTTCATCTATAAGCCTCATTTCTAATACCATTTTAAAACAAAAACGGAGACATATAACAAATCACAGCATGCACAACGTGACTTCCTTAAAATCTGATAACCAGACACAAAAGTGTCGCTTTAATAAAAGCGACCATTTAACCCCAAAGTGAACCTATGGTTAAAATACGAAAACAGGAAAATATTCACCTAAAGTTATCTGCTTCTGAAGGGGAAAACATTCTAGTAATTTTATAAAACTCACTGACGCATTTTCAAGTAGGAATTGCTGACGCTTCTTGCTTGCTTGTTTGCTTCAAGCAAGTTTCTTTAACCTAATAATTCATTCTCTGTGGTCAGTTAAGGATTCATCTTCATGTGCACTGAATAGCCCAGACTCCATAAAGCTTCTAATGTAGACCTCAGCTAAATAAAGAGTTTCATAGCTGACTCAGTAAAGCTCACCCACGAGCTCTGGTGTGGTGCCCGAGTAATGAGCTGCCTTCTCTTCTGTGCCTGCACCACCTGCACCACAGAGAACACACTTTCTGAGCTCACTCCTCTGTGTGTCCTGCTGCACTCTGGGGCGTGAACGGGCTGCAGGAAAAACCTGTAAGATGATCTTTTCCTCCTTGCTTTATGGCCTGTCTATCTAGCCTCTGTGAAGAAATGAGGGGCTATGGATGAAGCAGCTGCACTTCTGTGAACAGAAATGTTTTAAGCATGCAAGAGTGAAGTGGCTCTGACGATGAATGAGAAGCTGATGGAGAGACAGCAAAACCTTACTTTTCTCTTTGAGCTTCTTTTTAATATTTTCATCTGCACAGGAAAACCCATCAGATTGGGAGTTAGCATATATTACAACAACACACTATCTTACAAGTACTAGTATTTGGTTTCCTTGTACATAAATGCTGGGACTCTAATCTCACAAACAACCCAGAACATGAAGCACTCCCACATGACTCTGAGGCAGGTAGGTACACTAAGCACAGTGCTGGAGCCTCAGGAAGAAATGCTGTGTGGTTAGCTCCTACATCAGAGCTTCTTCCTTCTGTACCTTGCTGCTTCTATGTGGATGTTAAGACCCAGGGTCAACCAACTATGTTGACTGGCTATGTGGACTGGCTAATGCCACTCTGGTAGGTTTTCCCAAGTGTTAGTTCGATACCTGGTCCTCCTGACTACATGTGGCATCCAATTAAGCACTCGGGCCCAACCCCACTGAGACAGTGTGTCCCCTGTTCAAGGAGACAGGGCCAATGCTGACACAGTCAGTGTCAGGGTCAGACTGCCATGAGATTTCTAAACCTTGTACTCAGACCCTGAACTCAGCTGGTCCCATGGTGACAATGAGCAGCTCACACCGGCTCTGGTCCCCGACTCTGTGTTGGCAGCACCACAAACATATCTCTAATCACAGGTACTCACTCAGTCCGTTCAGTTCTTAATCTCTAAAAGTGAGACTAGCATTATGGGTTCCCTGGTACAGCAATGTGAGCAATAGATTCAACCCTAAAGTTGTGGTCTATTTCTGAATGTCCTGTAATGTTATTTTACTTATGTCTAAATCCAGGGAGGACAACCCACTTCCATAAGGCTGAGTTTTCTGATGGATAAAGAAATAGGTACAGAATGCAACTTGTTTCCATGTATTACATGGCATGAGACAAAGCTCCACCAACTGGGATCTATCTGTCCAAATGAGTCAGAAACTGCTAGATACACACGTACATACACACACACACACACACACACACACACATATACATACATGCATGCATACATACATACATTTATTCATTCATTCTAGGATTGCCAGATATTATACATATTATATTTCAAGACTTTTTTTTTAAACTGAGTCATGGTCTCCCTGTGTTACCCAGGCTGGTTTCCACCTAGATTCTTCTGTTTCCTTTTCCACGTGCTAGAGGTGCAGATGTCAGACCCAAATGTAAGTTTTAAAACGTCACTGGGGTTGTTTTCCTACTGTCCAACATCAGACCCTCTCCTGCAGTTTACCGGATCTTAACGAAACCATCGAGAGCCACAGTCAGTCTTACCTCGATCGAGGACCTCGATCCCTTCTCCTTTTGCCGTACAAGCCAGTCTCTCCTGCAGCCTCTTTACTTCACACTCCTTCTCCTCCAGTTGCTCTTTTAAAGATGCCAATTCATCCTACAAATTATAAATTCATTTTAAAACAGCAGACTAGGGGAGAAGAGAAACACTTACAAAGCGTATTAACCCTTTAAATCAATACTCGGACTACGGGAATGAGACAAACACCCACAAAAACTTACACACAAACACAAATTAGACAGAGGCAATGGTAAACACTATTAATATACGTAATTTGTAATAATTACAGTATAAATGATTCAGGTTTGTTTGAAGTGTAACCAGGACAGGGTACACTCTAAAATTCTGCCAATGTTAAAGTCTCTCCAAGTTAGTTGAAAAAGATGACCAAATTCGATACTTGTCTTAAAAGCAAATTCAAAAAGGCTTGATTGGCTCCTTCAGCATTTCAAAGTGACATTAATGATCCTGGGATAGTCACTGGGCATCAGTAGCCACAGGGAGGCAATCAGGGGTGACTGACCAAATCATGGACTACACAATTTACTCTTATCACTGAATAAGGCAGCCATGAAAAGAGGAATCTAGAAAGAGAGGATTTGGGTCTTCCTTTTGAGATGATGATATCTGAAAAAGCTTCTGAGGCCCTGATATAATTTTTTTTAAAATTTAAAAACTCAGATTTGCTTTAGAAAGTACTAGTTTTAGCAAATTTATATTTTGCGGCTGTATCTGTCACAGAAACTAGTTATGCCATGACAACAGGCATCTTTTATTCAGTGTGGCGTTTATTCTCAGAGTCTTTATTCAGCTAGCTGTACATGTAGTATTATGAAAAACCCACCCAAGAGGCCAGGTCAGCCCTGTACTCCTGACTCATGGTAAGGATGGAGCCAAGCTCAGAAACTTTCAGTAGCCCTGCAAGAGGCGCTGCCCCTCTCCCTGCAGGACTTTTGAGCAGTGGCTTCTCTTCCCTGCCATGTTAAAGAACACACACACACTGGCCTTCCTGGAAACTCTAACTGGAGAGCAGGCTCCAGTTCATACGAGTTCCACAGATGAACTTTTAACAGACAGGTGTGTGCACTTTTAACAGACAGGTGAGACACATACACGCAATGAATGCACATGCTACTGAAAACACCATCACCGCAGAATGACATGCCAGAGAGTGGCGGCCCACTCCCACCAATGTCTACCACACCTTCAGCGTCTCCCATTTTTGCTCCATCCGTTGCTTTTCATACTGCATCTGACCCACCTTGATTTTCATGCTAGAAAGTTTGGCCATTAGAGACTGGTAGAGAGACAGAGGAATGAGAGAAAAGGAGGCAGAAAAGATAAGCTAAATGACGGAAAACAGCATCAGTTCATAAAGAAGGTCAGCTAACCCAGATACCACAGGCTGTGTCCTGACAGAGCACCAGCTAGTTAACTCAGATATCACAGGCTGTGTTCTGGAAGATTAGTCAAGCCTTGGATTTACTGAGAACTCTAGCATGTAAACTAAGTACCTCCAGCTTGGGAGAAACACAGTTTAGTTGTGAGATATGATGTCACCATGTACTAGTTGGAAAACACTTTTGTAAAATCATATTGCTCATAGAACAATAGACCATGTTTTAAAATCACTTTGTTTTCCAGAGAAACTTACTTTAGTAGACTTGAGCTTTTTCTCATACTGAAGTCTTTCGCCATCCATTTCATTGACTTTTAGCCTCAAATCATTGATCTCTTGTATTAGCCCCTGGTAAAAAAAAAAAAATTGATTAGAAAAGGGTATAGCACAGCCACGTCACCAAAAGAGTAGCTGGAAAGCCCTAAGCCAGGACAGTTCCTTGGATATAAGTTGTGAGAACAAGTCCAGTGCCTCTGCCCTGAAATGCTTATGAAAATAAAAGCGTAGCTATGATTCTGACTAGAGAAATGCTATTATGGGACTCATGGACCAGGTGCTCAGTGTGGGGCTGGAAGGTTTGTGGAACCTTGAAGCAGCAGCGCCTACAGGGAGATCCTTTACCCTGAAAGGGATTTGGGGGGCTCAGCTCCTTGCCCTCTTTTCTGCTTCCTGCCACGCATTTCATGATAATGTGCTTCGTCAACACTGTCTCTGAGCGATGGGGTCCACTAACCATGGACTACGATCTCCAAAACCACGGGCTAAAATAAACTGTCTCTTTATGAGCTGTCTTGGGTATTTGTTATAGTAATGTATCTTGGTTTTCTTCCTGTTGCTGTGATCAAACAATCTGACCAAAAGTAGCTTGGGGGTGGAGGTGGGGATTGGGGCAAATTATACTTCCAGGTCACAGTTCATCATTGAGGGAAGCCAGGGCAGGAAACCAAATCCGGGACCCAGAGGCAGGAACCAGATGCATACTCCTTGCTGGCTCCTTCACTGGCTCACTCCCCTGTCTTTTGTATATCATGCAGGAGATGGCGATCCCACAGTGAGCTGGACCTGCCTACAGCAGTTAGGCAATTGCTCACAGTGGTGTCCACAGACCAACCTCACAAAGACGAAAGTCCTCACTGGGACTGCTGGCAGGTGGTTGACAAGTTGATGGTCAATGTTCACTGCTACAGGACAGAAACGTGACTAGCGCGCCAAGACAGTCTAACACTGACAAAGCCACTTAGCATACGCTTCTATATTAAAACTACCTATGGGCCCCATCTTTCCACATGAACTAGAGATTTTCTCTGGCATAGCCATTTACCTTAAGATTCTTTTCCGTGACACATATAGTTATTTAAAGATTTCTATAATCTTTGCCTAGTCTATAAAAATATAAACTTGAGTTTCTTTAAGCCAACAATCTCAACCTGAAGGTAGATGAGGATATAGATATATAGATATAGATACAGATATAGACACACACACACACACATATATGGATATATATATATCCATCCAATACAATAACATAATTTCATATGTGCAAAATTTAAAGTCTAAATGATTTCATAACAGAATTAATTTAACACCACTTCTACTACCACTTTAAAAACGTGCTTGTCAGATTTGCTCAAATATTCTGACTTCAGGTTTAAAAAGACTCCGTGTCTCTTGCTAGCTCATCTTCCCTGAGCAGAAGTCACGAGTGGGCTTCCTTCCTTTGGTCTTTCAGGCTTTGCTATTGTTAACAGGCAGCTTTGAACTCCCAGCAGGCATGGTTGTAAACATTACCCCTTCCTTTACTGCTGTCTGCAAACATGAAGGAACAGCTATAGAAAACCAAACTACATAGTGGGGTCATTTTCCTATTTTCTTTTTAAAGAAAAAACTATCCAATTTTTCTTTTTGTGGTGGTAATGCATTAAATATGAATCTAAAGTTCCAATCTTCGAGAAGCTAGATATGCCCATGACAAGTCTGGCTGGAAAATATGGAACTATCTCTTTAATGCAAAAAGAGAAAAGGAAAGAAAACCTTAAAAAAAAAATGTTATTTAAACTACTGCACTTAACTTCTCAGTTCAGGCTCCATGCAGAGGTCTTTATTTTAGTCATCTGTGCTTACACCAGACGGGGGCGCAAATCTTCAAGGTTTAAAGATTTTTAATGCACTAGGTTTTAGAAATGCCTATAAAGGTTCCTTACTTAACTTCAACATTTTCTTGGAAACCAATATCCAAACTCTTAAAATTCTGGAAGAGCGTTAAGAGATTTCGGATGGCATAAGAGCTAGCTAAAAGCTTTAAGGGAACATTAAGCCAGAACATGTGCATATTCCATTCTGTTTCAATGTCTGAATACTATTTTGATTATTTTAATATAAATCCACAATTACCAAATATTCTGTAATATACCCTGTGAATATATGTACTGCCTTGTATCAGCAGTGCGGATTATTTCATAGGAAATGATCAAAGATTGTGTTTTCTAGAGGTGTGTCCACAGGGTCACTGGATGAGAACACAGGAGAAGACAGAAGCAGGAGAATCAAGACAGGACAAACACCTGCTGCAGTTCAGTTGTCCCGACTGGTCGGCCTCACAACCAGAGTAAACTAAGCACAGCACCGGGTAAGTAAGACTCCGCCTCTTACAGTGTGAACAGTCTCAACTCCCTTCCTGTCTCCCTCCAGCCTCTTAGTTCCCATCCCTGCAACCTCTCTCCCCTCACCCCCCCCCCACCAAAACAATCCCCCTGCAGCCCCAGCCACTATGTAGGTTCAGCAGCCACTGTGAAAACAGGGATGGCGGGGTAAGGAAAAGGGAAAAATCTAAACAGTCTCTTACAGGAAACATTAAAGTCAAGTCAGCGAGTGGTGGCAAAAGCCTTTAATCCCAGCACTTGGGGAGCAGAGGCAGATGGATCTCTGATTTGAGGAAAACAACCACCTACTCACTCTCCTTTCTGGTACTCATTTTCTGACACAGGACCCCACCCCAGACCCTTAACCAAACAGAGAAGGCTGAGGGGTGGTGCCCTCTAAGAAGGGATTTCTATAGCTCTTCCTTTCATTTATTTCACTTCATTTGTGGTGTCAGGGATTGAACCCAGGGCCTTGTGAGTGCTGGAAAAGGGTCCTGCTGCTCTGCTGCACTCTCAGCCCTGTGTTTCATCCTAAATGAAGATTTGAAATGGACAGATACCCTCCAAGCCTCTCCTCAACCAAAAGCCAAATTAGAAGACCCGAGTTAACACTAGGATGAGAGAAGAAACAGTGAAGTTTCTATAGCCACAAGTACTTTAAAGATTCAGTGTGGTGTGTGTGTGTCCATGTACACCTATGGAGAAGTGACTGTGTGCCAACAGACACGGGTGTTGGGAACTGAATTCCAGCAAGAGCATCAAGTGTTCATAATTGCTGAGCCTCTGCGCCATTCCCCAATAAAGTACTTATTTCATCATGGAAGGCAGCCTAAATTTCACAAAAGTATACTGAGTCTTAGTTAATCGCAACGACTTACATGCGGAATATACTAAACATTAAGGGTCAAATAAAATAACCTGCAAATGCTAGAATTCTCTGAGTGTATGACATGAGGTTTCTCTATATTAACCAATTCCCCTTAGATTATGTAAACGACCATTGGGCCTATATAAGGACAGCTGATAAAATCATGTATCTAATACATTATTTTTAAATTAAGACCAGCACAGTTTTGTCAGTCAGGTGCCACAAATACCTTGTAGTCAAAACTAGTTCTACAGAATATTTGAAAGAAACAAAAACTGGAACTAGCATCTTAGTGAAGAAATCACAATGTGATTAAGGTTTACCCTGAGTTCTTTTTTACTTATGGTTGTTAGTTTTTTGAGACAAGGGTTTCACAGTGCCCAGTCTACTCTCAGATTCACTATATGATGGAGGCTGGCTTTGAACCCCTGATCCTCTGCCCTGATCTCTCAAGTGCTGGGACTGAAGGCATGTACAGTATGCCTGGCTTATTCTGTCTCTGGAACAGTGCTGAGGACTAGGGTCTAGTGAGCCCTGAACATTATTTCTTAAAAGGAAGCAACGTGAAAGTTTATAGTAACTCACTACCTTCCCTTCACACCTCCAGGAGTTTCAGCTTTGTCCTGTGTGTGTGTGTGTGTGTGTGTGCGTGTGTGTGTGTGTGTCTGTGTGACTGTGTGTGCATGTGCGTGCATGTGCATGCACGTGTGCACGTTAGGGCTAAAAAAAAAAAGAGAAGAGGGGGAAGGGAAGAGAGAGAACGAGCATACGCTACTTACCTCTGTGTCTCTGAACCTATCTTCATAATCCAGCCTGTCCTTCTCTACAGCCGTCAGTTTTAACTTCAAGTTAGAAATCTCAGCCATCAACTCCAGCTTCTGTGTCTCTAGGGAAGTCCTGCTCAGAAGCTCCTGTTAGAATTCCAGATATTCACAAGTTGTTATATTACAAATTTCTGTTAGGACAGCAACGCAGCAATAGTTAAGTGTAGGCCGTGGGTGAAGTATGGCTATACACTACACGGCTGAGGATCACTTAACTCTAGTGACCTCTTCTGAACAGAAGTACACATGTCATCAGGGGGTCAGGGGGACACAGCTGAGAGACTCCAGAGCCCGATGACAGCACTGATGTGCCATGCATGGTGCCTGCTATATTCCAGGGACTGGGAGACATGCTCATGAGTTCAGTCCCTGCCACAGTCTCATGAGGAAGCTTATCAGCCTCATTTTTTCAGGGTTTCTAGGAACACAGAAGCCGAGGTCATGAGGACAGGGAGGTCTGGAGCCTGTCAAGTCTCACAGGCAGGCAACGGCACAGACTGACGTTCAACAGTAGCAGCTCTGCAGCCATACATAATCTCCGCTGCATCACAGGCTTCTCGTCCACAAGCCCTGTGCATGCACTGGGATGCGTGTGTGTGAGTGTGTGTGTGTGTGTGTGTGTGTGTGTGTGTGTGAGTTTTTGCCTAAACAAGCCGCATAGGGTGCTTTTCATCTCATGATTGGGAGTTAGAAATAACATGAGCGCAAAAGATCAACTTGTAACTCCTGTAACACTGTATTCTCTCCTAACTACATAATTTTGCATGTCTCTGTGGTTTTAGACTCTGCTAGTCTAGACATTAAACACAACAGTTTATGGGATTCTGGAATTTATTGCTGCTGAGACAAGACAGGAATGCTGAACCTGAGATAGCACAGTTCAACACACACACACACACACCCCAGCTTTGGCACGTACCTGCTGCAGCATTTCTTCAGTGGCGTTCAGCTTCTCTCTGTGTTCTTCAAGACAAAACTCCAAATCCCGAATCTTCTCTCCCTGAGCCTCCACCTGGTCTGTCAACACACTTACCTATTAATTTAAAGCAAGAGGCTGCAATGAGTTTGAAAGGCTCTGGGCCCCAAAGCACGGCTCACTCTCTAACTAGAATGAGGACTAAGATCCATCACTCACGGTGGGTTTAAAATATCACAAGCTTAACAAGATGACAGTGGTCCTACCCTTTGCTGTTTGTACTTTGCTTTGTGTGGATCGAGCCCACGACTTGTGCGTGCTAGGCTTGGCAGGCTCTCTACCACCGGGTGACCTGTGCAGTCCTATGCTGCCTTATGACCCAAGATTCTTATTCAGTTTAGGAGAAACTTGAGCGCTGGTCAGAGATTTCCAATTTCTTTACACATTAAACCATTTCGGTTGTAATTAGGAAAATCTGATGTTGAAGGAAATAGTGAGAAGACTGGTAGTAGCGAGGTCCATGTTGTAAACAGGCACTAAGGACCACCCAGATGTCACATGTCAATAATAAAAGAAGCAAAGGTGAATAAAGACCTCAAATTCTACAAGCTCTTCCAAGATGGACACGGTCACAAGAGCGTTCAAAGTGAGGGCAGGGGAAGAGTGCTGCAGTGCACTTAGCATGAGTTCAGGTCCCAGCACCAAAGAGGAAAAGGAAAAAGCTAGGGTACCACACCACACGCCCAAGAAACAAACGGTGAAGCTCATCCTTCACCCTTAGGGTTCCAAATCTCTCCTCTGCGATACCAGCTGAGTAAATATACTTTGATCCAGTTAGCTCTGTACTTAGAAACACCACAGGGAAGCAAGCAAATGTACTTCACAGTGCTTTCCAACAGCAGGCTCCACTCAGCTGCTTTGTATGGTTCATGCATCATTTTAAAAGACGGAAAGTTAATATATATTTAGACTGAGATTTTCATACTATGGGTATTCACAGATATGGATTTCTAGCTGAAACATGTAAAATCAAATCTGACAGCAGGTGACATACAAAGTCATCTCAAGTGGAACTGAGTCTGACCTGCTCTGGAGGACTGGGTGACAAAGCTGGCCAGAGCCAGCTACATACCCCTGGTACGGACAGCTGGCCTAGCACTCCACTTCTTGTTTGTGAGATAGGATCTGATGCTATAGCTCAGGCTGATGTCAAATTTATGGCAATTCTCCTGCATCAGCCTCCTAAGTGCTGGGATTACAGACACTGAGACCACAGCTGCCTTCTACTCCACTGTGCTATTCCCTTCAGTGTCTGGCTGAGCTGCTGTACAAATTAAATGATCCATTTTCAGTATTCTGTGAGAGTACCGTCTTCCCTTGGCATCTGTCTGTGGCTGGTTCGAGAATCTCTGCAGATATCGGTCTGCATGCTGAAGTCCCTTCATGGAACAGCAGTGTGCTTACATGCAGCCTACACATCTTCCTTATGCTCCCAGTCACAGGCTCCCCAGCACAACGTAAATGCACATGAACAGAACAGTTGTCATACTGCTTCGATGGTGTGTTTACTACGGGTGCTTAATACAGGTGTTGCACATATATGTGAGAAAAAGTTGCAAGGACACATGTCCTGAGAAAGGAACAGCCTCAAGTACCACTTGCCTGAAGAACGAGGGATTCCTTGTCGTTTTCTAGACGTGCCAGCCTTTCCTGATACACATCTCCGTTCCCGGGTAGGTGTCCATTTGTCTGAACGAGAAAGTAACATAGGTAAGGTCAATGCTCCCTTAGGATTTGGTATGTTATGAATCCGTAAAACTGACATATTTTAAACTCAAGGGGCCCAGATTAAATTCAGCACAACTGTCACTGGCATAGATGGAAAATGTTAAGTAAATTAACTGACTTCAAAATAAGCATGACAGGCACGGTGAGCGCTTGTATACAACTGAGCTTCTAAACGCAACTCACTGGCCTACCCCGCTGCCGAGGAAACAGAAAACAAATAGGTTTAGAACCAAGACAGGTTCTAAACATACAGCTGTCGTAAAACACTGACCAAAGATAACTTGAGAGGGTAAGTGTTCATTTCACCTTATAGTCCACCATGAAGGGAAGTCAGGGCAAGAACTGAAGCAGAGGCCTTAGAGGAGTGCTGCTTACTGGCTTGCCCATGGCCCGCTAAGCCACCTTCTTATACAACCCAAGACTGTCTGCCCAGAAATGTCCCCATCCCAGTGGACTGGACTTTCCACATAATCATTAATTAAGAACACATCCCATAGGCTTGTGTACACATTGATAAGATGGTGGGGACCTTTTCTTCCCAAATTACTCTGGATTGTGTCAAGTTCGCAGAAAGCTATCCAGCACAGACTCTAAAAAGCAGCAGCTGCTGGAATGCTCCAGTAGCCATAGGCACAGCCCTAGGGCAAACGAAGTTCTGAGTACCTAGTAGAGGACAGTACTCCATTTGTCCCTGAATGATCCCTGTCACTGAGTTTGTGGAACAGTGATTATGACCTGTGATGTCCTCCTGTTCCTACCCACTCTATCCCCAGGCTCCACACTGGACTGCCAACGCCTGCTTATGGAGCAGATGCAGGGCAACGTCTGCCGGGCTTCTTCCTGTCCACTTAGCTCTACAGGTCACAGGATGAAATCATATGATGAAGGCTCCCGTCTGGAAAGCCTTCAGAAGCCTCTCTGTCTCCCCAGCAAAGCTTAAGCGTTCAGTCCAGAGTGACTTTCCCTGGAGGGCCTGACAGCTTTGTAATTGTTTTCCGTCTTGGCTTCACTAACTTCTTACATGTTTATCGGTTTATACGATGCTAAGATCAGCTCCTGGCAACACCTGGCCATCAGCTCACACCTTCCTGGCATCTGGCTCAGTGCTCGTCCACGTTCACCTTCCCACTCCTCTTCCTTCTGCTGGTTTTTTTATTTTTTTTTAAATCCTATCTTGTATATTATGCATAGTGCACTGTCCACGGAAGTACAGACTTTTTCCTACACTTTTTATTTTTGTTTATTTATCTTTGAGACACAGTCTTCCTATGTAGCCCTGGCTGTGCTGGAACTCATTATGTAGAGCAGGATGAACTAGAATTTACCGTGTAGGTCAGGCTAGTCTCGAACTAATAGAGTTTCACTTGCTTCTGCCTCCCCACTGCTCAGACTGAAAGTATGTACCACTGTGCCTGGCCTTCTCTCCCATTTTTTTCATATCCAAGTCATGAATGGCACATTTGAGAAGTCTCACGAAGAATAAGACACATAGAATTGTCACTCTGAAACACAGTAGTATATAAGGCATCCCCTGTTCTCTCCCCTCTTTGTTCCACTGTCCTCCCCCTCTCCAGGCTGTCAGGGATAGTCCTCCTGCTTCAGCCTCCTGGTATTACAGACATGAGCCACTATGCCCGCTTGTGATGTGCCCCTCATCATATCCGAGCTACATTACATACTAAATCCGTGGGATTCCCTGAAGAGTCCTTTCAGCACAGCAGAGATAAGTCAGAAACCCAAAATGGACAAGTAGGGCCATCCAGAATTCAGCCATGCACAACCTCTTAGATTGTTAGAACCAGAACAAACAAACACCAGGAACTGTACACGCCGCTTCCCCAGGGCACATCCAACATGACTCCTATTTCTCCAGAATTAACCTGCGTCTGTTCTGCCTCCCCAGATCCCTATTTCAGTTCTGAGAGTGACAAATGTCATATCTTGAAAGCGAAACAATATAGAAGGAAGAAGGGAAAAAGGGAGGAAGAAGTGGGAAGGAGGAGGAAGAAAAAGAAGGAAAGATTAAATTTGAGGTACTCCTTCTGAAGATGGAGACACACTGGGTTACATTTCCCAAGACCCCAAAGAAAACTCAGAAGCTAATTTAGCAAGTGTGCAATGCATGTTTAGAGTGGGTATAATGTTAACACTAGTAGTTGCTCGACCACACACCTGTACCATTACCACTGTGCAACCCTACCCATGCTGTTCACTCCAGTGTTCAGAATTAACTTACAAGAGACAAGAGTCTGATGGAGTAGTTGGAATGATCTATACTCCTGGGGATCATGAAAATGAAGCAGTTTTCTGGAGAACAGCCAGACACACAGTGGAGGTTCCTCCAGTCTATGAAGTGCAGAGGCAGACCCTGACACACACACACACACACACACACACACACACACACACACACACACAGAGTGGATGTTCCGGTCTATGAAGTGCAGAGGCAGACCCTGACACACACACAGTGGATATATTAACCACATTGTGAGGCATCTGTTTTTAAAATCCCATGCAAGTGACGTTTTATAAACACATTTTATTGTATTAAAAATGTTCTATGTTCAGTGAACACAGAGGTAGGACTTGCTCTTTTGTCTCTTTAATAGATAGAATGGAGCTCCCTATGTGGACCAGGCCACAGACATCTGGGCTCAAGCAAATCTGCCTCAGCATCCTAAGTAGCTCTGACTGCTGTCATGTGCCACTGAGTAGAAACGAAAAAGAATCCATTCGTTTTCCTCCTGTGGTTCTGACTGGTGTTTGAACCCAGGGCCTCACAAGGAAGCGCTCATCACAGGGAGGCACTTATCATGTGGAAGCCCTCACCACACAGAGGTGCTCACATGCTCCACTGCTGAACTACACCCCCTGCTCCCTCATTCTGAGAGCAAGAAACTCTAGCCAAATTAGCATCATTTTCTTTCAAGCCACATATTACAGGATGTTTCAACACCGCTTTTCCAAAGTGAAATGCTGAGAACTGACTCAAAATGAGCAAACAAATAGTATGTATGAATACTTATAATACTCAAGATTGGCTAGTATTTCTGAAACACTAATAGTCACCACAGGAACCCAAGGCAAAAAGAATCTTAGGAATTGCTACATAGCTATGGTAATATATTTAAGTAGCTAGAAACCTGCTCTGTCTATGTGTCCTCTTTCTGTTACTTCTGATTAAGAATACTGGCACTAAGCCTGTGAGGTTTCTGTCACTTCTGTCCTTTCTTCAGCCGTGATCCACCTCCCAGGTGACTCAAGCCTTCCTCCAACTGAATGCTCTGTGCTCACACAAGCATTTCATCCCTTTTACCTAGACTTCTCTCTGACCCTTCCTACTCTTTCTTTATGTCTTCCCTAGCTACCTACATCTGGGTCTGGTCTATAATGTTTTCCTTGAAGGCTTCACTCATAAGCTACTAACAGCATTGGACAAGCTCCACTGCAGAAGCACTGGGCTCAGGGGACTGACTACCCACCCAGCGCCCCACAGATGCTCACTGTGAGCAACTCTTGCGTCTGATAGGAGCACTGACTGACTGACTGCTGAATGAAGGAACAATGGCAAGCGTTCAGTCGGCATGGATTGAGTGTACATGAGTATCAGGCCTTGCCTCTAGTCACATTTCCCTTAAAGTCGTTACTTATTACTTCATGGTGGTGCTCTGAATTACTTCACTTTCTCCTTTAGGAAGATCCCTCAAACATCCATCTTTCCTGTTTTCCTTCTGGCCAGTCTCACGGGAGCTGAGACTTTCCTTCTCAAAGCTAGTCCTCCTACTTCTTACTCTGGAACCTTGGTCTCCAGTTTCCCTTAGACCTACAATTGTCTCTTCTTGGTATCGGTTTCTTTAATGTAGTATGATCTCTTCAGTTTTCCCTTACCATTCACCCAAAGGCTTTGTGCCCACTTTTGCTCACCCCCGATACCCCTTGCCTGTGTCAACTGTCTTTCGTAACCAGCTTTACCTCTTCCTTCTGATACTGTGTCATTGTCTTCTCCTTATCCAATGGCCTCCCTTTCACACCCTGCCATCAACTTCACAATACGGCTTTTTAACACATTTTGCCACTGATGGCCAATCACCAAATTACATGAATTGGTCACTATAATAGCTAACCTTGGTTTCAACATGACATACTTGGGAAAAATGGTTTTCAGTCAACAAACTGCCTACATAAGACTGGCCTGTGGGCATGTCTGTAGGGGCATTTTCTTTATTGCTTTTGAAGTAGGAGGGCCTAGCCCACTGTGGGTATTATAATCCCTAGGCCTGGAGGACTAGCCAACATAAAAAAGGTAACAGAATTCGAGCCAGAGAGTAAGCCAGTAAGCCACTGTTCTCCGTAGTTCCTGCCCTGGCATTCCTTAATGATAAACGGTGAACTGGAAGTGTGAACCAAATAAACTCTTTCTTTCTAAGAAGAGCTGCAACAGAAAGCAAACCAGAACAGCCATTTATTCTTCCTAATAGTCTCTCAATGCAAAAGCCTCCTACATTTCTTTTCATCCATTCAGAAGGCTTATAGAATATGATGTACATCATCAAAAGGTGTATTTACTACAAATCCCTAAGACCAAAGCATTAAAGACCGTCCCAAGTAACTATATTTAAATCCTCTGAAATACAGTCAAAATAGCCCTTTATACTTCAGTGTGTTGCAAGTCATTTAACCCAACACCAGGATGAAAAATATGCTCCACTATCCCAGAGACACTTTCTTCACTAAGGAACTTATATGGCCAGGTCTTTCTGACATGATTAGGAGAAAAACATCTAACAAGCATTCTCTCTCATAGGGTTAGACAGACTTCCAGAGCTAGCCGATAATTCGCTCTGAGAATGTGACTTTTCTAAACACAATGCGGGTGCACACAAGATAAGGGCATCTATTTCTGCACCAACTGTTACTAGCACAGAATGCCTAACACGTGGGAGCAGGTGACATCCTGT